CTGATGCCTGTGTTTCTTCCCCTTTTTACACATTGATAAGTAATGTGTAGAGCACAGAACATGAAAGTGACGCTCTGTGTTCTGTTTTGTTCTCACCTTGCAGATCATGCTATTTACAACCTGTACGCCGTCTCCAATCACAGCGGGACCACAATGGGAGGTCACTACACAGCCTACTGCAAAAACCCTGTGTCCGGAGAGTGGCATGCCTTCAATGACTCACGGTATGTCTAGGACTTCTCTATTGGAAGGGGGCTGCAGCTTTCACATGGGGGCCCGCAGGAGATTAGCATCGCCTGTATCTCAAATCTTAGGTTCTACAAATGCTAGAAACATTCTCTTTTTTTAAAAAAATGAAAACTGGGAATCCGAGCATTATGGTTCTCCCTTGCCCACACCACCGGTGGACATCCATGCTTAGTGGCAGAGCATATGCTTCTTATGCACGCATGCGCAATCTCTAGAAACCCAGAAGGGGCATGAAAAGGAGCACAAAAATGGTGCAAAAGTAGCATCTAGCAATCCTACAAACCTTTGCAAGTGCAATCCCAGGAGCCTTTGTGCCAACCTTTGAGGCCTCTGGAGAAGCGATTGTGGTGGAGTTTGGTGGGCAGATGTTTTTGTTTTTAAAGGGTTTCCAGAGGTTTGGGGGGCATTTGCAGGCTTTCTCAATGGTGTTCCCAATTTTTGCGATTTCACTTAAGCGTGTGGTGCCTCGGAACGTAATCCCCACATAAACGGGGAGTTGCCCGTACTGGAAAACGGGGTGCTGGACTCGATGTTCCTTGGTCTAGCAGATCCCTCCTTTACGTTCTTTTATTATATACATTCCCTGGGGTCCCGCCCCAGTGCCAGACCTCAGCCCCCTAACTGCTTTCTCCTCTCTTTCCCCCTGCAGCGTGACACCGCTCTCCTCAAGCCACGTCCGGAGCAGCGACGCCTACCTGCTTTTCTACGAGCTGGCCAGCCCGTCTTCGCGCATGTAGCTTCCACATGCCCTCCCCCTGCCACAAACCCTTGAGGAAAAAAGGAAGAGAGCCGAGCACCAGCTCTCTGATGCAAAAAAGAAAAGAAAAAAAGGAGGGAGGGACAGAACCCAGGACAATGGTGACTCCAGGGATTTTTTTAAGCCGGGGTGTTTTTTTGTTGTTGTTTTTTCTTAAAAAAAACCCCAAAACCAAACAAAAAAGGGGGAGAAAGAAAGTCCTAATAAAGCATTGACTAAAGCTGCCGACTTTTACGGAAAGGCCTTTCTCCTGCTCCGGGGCGTGCCCTTCAGCCTCACGGACGCCGGGGAGAGAACGCCGGAAATGGAGGGCCAGGGGGCACCCCACAGCTCCATCACTCCCCTAGTGTTGTCAGGGGTGGTTTTTAATGTTTTCCTTTTTTTCCTCTCTTCCTGCCTCTCTGTCTCCCTTTCCCGTGTGTGTGATTCTCTCTTTCATTTCCACCTTTCCCCGCTTTAATAATAAACCGTGAACAGCAGCTCTTGATGGGGCAGAAATCTGTCTGTCCCGTTTTATCCACACAACCCCCCACGGCTTGCACCCCTTCGCCGGGTTCAAAAGTGTGATGAGAAGGGATCTCGAGTGCTGGACCTGCACAACGGAAGGAGGCGCCCCTGTTTTCTCTCCTCCCCGTGGAACGGCGCCATCCGGAGACGGGCATTGCACCTCGGGGAACTGTTTAATTGCACTACGGTTATGGAACCCAGCCTTGGCGTTTCTGCACTTGCCCGCCTCCCGGCACCGTATTGTCTACCCTGTTGGAGGTGTGAGGCAAAGGAGGCCGTTCTTCCAAAGCTGTGAACAAAATGACTGGCTAACCACTTGAGATTCCTGCTGCCTGGGACTGTGCGCTCATGCCACGCAAGCTCACCGCAGAGGGCAGCTCTGCAGCTCATTGCAAGCCCACACAGGGCACGGGAGTTGGTTTCCTGCTGCAACCAAGGACCTCGAGTGACTCTTCCTTCGCTCCCGCCTCTCGTTTGGAGGGACGCTTCTTGGTTCCCGTTTTTGTTTTATTTTGAAACGAACTTTCTTTTCTTCCTAATAAAACCCAGGGGCACTTCCGGCTGGATTTGGCGGGCTCCAGCAAAGGGCGATGGGTGGTAGATTCCTACCTATCTGTTCTCACAACAGTGCCTTAAAACCTTCCGGGTGAAACGTGAGGTGTTTTTATGGGGACAAAAAAACAAACAAACGCCCTTTCCGAAGGAGCGTGAGGTGTAATGCTTTCTTTGCAGTTCCCCTCCACAAAACGCCCACGTGCAAACACACACGTGCATCCCTCTCTCCTGTCCTGGGTCAGAGTGAGGCCTGTTCAGAAATGCTTTGGGAAGTTAGTGCTGAGTTTCCAGGAACGCGGTTGCTTAAGTTTTTTTTTTTTTTTTTGTTTTCTGAGGTAACAAGCCCCCGGCACAGGCTGCGTGAGGGCAGCAGCTTCTCCTGCCAGCAATGTGTTTCTCACAAGGAGGCAAAGGACTGGATAACAGCCTTTGGTCAGCCGACAGATGTTAATAACCTTATTTAAACTTTTATTTATTATCTCCTCACACACTCTTTCTCTCACATGCACACACACATGCACAAGTGTTTCAACCCATGTTCAAAATATGATGTACATGAGAGGAACCCAAAGGGGCCCTTTTAACAGCTTCACGACAGGCAGAAATCCAGCGGGGTGTGCTCTTCGTTGTGTCTGAGTGTTGGACCTGCACTTTATTTTTAGTTTCTCCTATCATGAAGCCTTTAAAGGCAACAAATCTTGGTCAGGAAAGTAAGGAGGCAACCTAACACCCCACCCCACAATATTGAATCAGGCAGAGTATTAGATGCCTAACCAGGCATACTGAATGAAATTATTGGCCATGCCAAACCACAAATGGCTTGTAGCATTGAAAATCCCTTTACCCTTCCTTTTTCCTATGAAGTCCTCCTTCAGAATCGCACACAGTCACACCCCACATAACATTCAAAGGGAAGCTCCTTTTTTAATGTTTTTTTTTAAAAAAACTCGTAGCAGTTTTCACTCCATTTCAAGATGGCTGACGCTAAGACCCCAGAGTGGGGAGGGGGCTGGATGGGCAATGCAAGATGTAAATGGTTCGTGTGAGGAGGACTTTCTTGTTGTTTTATGTGTGCTTTTCCCCCCCAGTTTGACTTAATGGCTTGTTTACTGTGTAAGCAATGATAGGGGAGGGACTTCCTGTGACTCATAAGGGAGACTTGTACAGAAATAAAAATTGTAGCTTGATGAACAGTTCCTTGGATTCTTTATGTTTGTGGACGTGTGGGTGACTCGGGGTGGACGAATCTTGCATACTTCTTCTTCCTGCCTTAGCTTTAAAGGTAAAGGTAAAGGTACCCCTGCCCGTATGGGCCAGTCTTGACAGACTCTAGGGTTGTGCGCTCATCTCACTCAAGAGGCCGGGGGCCAGCGCTGTCCGGAGACACTTCCGGGTCACGTGGCCAGCGTGACATCGCTGCTCTGGCAAGCCAGAGCTGCACACGGAAACGCCGTTTACCTTCCCGCTAGTAAGCGGTTCCTATTTATCTACTTGCACCCGGGAGTGCTTTCGAACTGCTAGGTTGGCAGGCGCTGGGACCGAGCAACGGGAGCGCACCCCGCCGCGGGGATTCGAACCGCCGACCTTTCGATCGGCAAGCCCTAGGCGCTGAGGCTTTTACCCACAGCGCCACCCGCGTCCCCGCCTTAGCTTTAGTTCTCCACATTTCAGCAGATTTTTTTTTAAAGAAATCCACATGTAACTCCATCAGCATTTAAGTGCACATTTTTCCATATATATATATATATATATATATATATATATATATATATGTGCGCAGTTTGGAGTTTATACACAAGCAAATTTGACTCATTTTCCAAGTAAGGCTGGTAGAATGTATGGCTCAAAGACATTTGGAAGCTTGAGACAGAGAATACAAATTGCACCTCCCACCCCCCCACCCCAGTGTTGATAAAAAATATAGTAAGGTGACTGTAATACTATAATAGCTCTCTAAACATGTCACCTAACTGTAAGGTAAACACATGGGGCAGTGCGAGGGGAGCCTCTTGTGTAGGGAGATGTGGATACTACTGTGGCGTGCAGAGCTAGCACAATCATCCACAGGGTCCGGGCTCACATGTTTATGGCACACAGAAAAGGCCAAAAATAAATAAATGAGGTCCAAGTTTAGCCTGAAATCTGACCTCCGACGTGGGCTGTCTTGCCTTTCCTTGGGCCAGACCTAGTGGCAATGCCCCAGCTGGAGGCTGTATTGAAGTGGCTGCCAACATTTTAAGGCCCATAGACGCAGTGCCCTAGGTGCCACCCTTGTCTGGTCAATTCTCCCTCCCCCTGGACAGGTCCCTGTTCTCCTAACAAACAAAAAGAGAAACTGTGCATGTACACATTTTGATTTTTCAGGGGATCTGGTTAAAACTTGGATCCAGCAAAATAAGTCTTGAGCCTTGAAGAGCTCATAGATTGGCAAGTGGGAAAGAGCTTCCAACTTCCTCCTTTGTTAGTGGAGAAAAAAGTTAACTACCCTCAACTCCTGAGAGGGCAGGGTGTGTGGGTGCCAAGGGAAGACTTTGAGGGCGCCACAGCCTCCACGGTCACCACATTGGTGATACCCTATTGTATCATCTTTGCTAAACGTAGCTTGGCTCACTTCCACAAGCCACCATGAGCTGCTTCTCTTTCCTGCAGCGCAGCTGATCTCTTTCAGTGGCGCACTGTGCCGCTTTCCATGTTATGAAAGATCCCCAAGGCTGCCTCCAAGGCCGCGGGGGGAATGTGCCACAAGGCTTCCGAGTAATCCCTCAAAAAACACACTTCTCTGGCTGCCGAGAGGCCCAAGTCCCTCCCTGCCAACCCGGCGCTCAAACAATGCCCCCTTTCTCCTCTGCTTTAGTAACAGGGTAAAGAGATTTTGCGCTAAGAGTGTCCTGGAATGTACACGACTTAGCAATGGGCCTAGAGACTCCACAAAAGCCGGCTGTAATGTTGCCATTATTGGGGAGAGTATGGGAGAGACGCGAGAGATATCTGCAAGTCCACTCTTCATCTTCCTTGCTTCCGGTAGGCAAATTTAGGTGGCAAAAATCAAGTTGTCATTGCTGCTAAGGAACTGGAAGTCCATCTTCTACAAGTCACCTAGAGATCTTCCAGCAGATCCTGATCTTCTGTCTACTTCTGTGATAGAGGATAGACATCTCCAGGGGGGGGAGTGTGCTGGGAATGAGCACTGCATGCTCAGAGTGGTTGCTCTCTGGCTTTGCTGTTTGGAAAGGACTTTGCAGAGGTCACTGCAGGGCAGGACGCCAAGGGAATAAAAGTGGAGACCTCTGAACAGCAGGTGAAAGAAGCCAGTGCTCAGTCCTTTCTGCTGGCACTCAGCAGACAGCTGCTTCAATAACTGTGCTTGTGTCTTGCACCCGCAATGTACATTGCAGGAGCAGGGATGCAACCGCTTCTGGAACGGAGCACAACCGCTGCCACTTTTAACACAGCTGCTGTTTTGGAAAGCGAGAGAGCCTGCTTTTGGGTAGTGACCCTTTCAGACTCTCGCTGTTCAGTTCCAGGCTGCCTTAGACAGAGAGAAAGAGTTTGGCAATCCTGTGCCTTTAAAACTGCAGTTGTCCATGCCAGGGCCTCTGACCTCGTCCTCCTCAGCTGAGTTGGATTAAGAAGTGGGGGCGGGGGGGGGAGGTTGGTGACTTTAATGCTTGTAAATTCTTTCACTTCCCAGGAGCTGGCAGGCCTCTTGTCCCATGAGCCTGCCTGCCAGGAAGCCAAGGGTCTTTGCCTTCGGCACAGTCCCCACTGTGGTCCTGGAAGGGAAACCTCACCACTGTCCTCTCCTTGCAAATGTGAATATCAGAAGGCCAAAATAAGGGGAACTGCTGTGCAGCCACGAACCGGATGCCGCAAGAGGTCGGGGGATGCAGCAGCCTAGGACGGGCAGGGATCCTGTCCACATTCCCCACGCCTTCTCCCACAACCATGAAGGAGTACACAGAGGTCATCTTCCAGCCGGAGACGCTGGATCAGAGCAAGGTATGTACAAAGGGAAGTCAGGGCATCACTGTTATGGGAACTGCTGATGACACCAATAGCTCTTATTTACCAAGGGCATCACCCATATATATATAATTTTTTGCCACCCATCCGACTAGGGTGCCCCAGCTACTCTGGGCAACAATATATTAAAACACAAAAACTCTCAAACATAAAAAAACCTCCCTGCCTTCAGATGTCTTCTAAAAGTTGTATAGTTCTTTTATCTCCTCGACATCTGATGGGAGGGCATTCCACAGGGTGGGTGCCACTACCGAGAAGGCCCTCTACCTGGTTCCCTGTAACTTCACTTTTCACAGCATGGGGACTACGGGAAGGCCCTCGAAGCTGGATTTCAGTGTCCAGGCTGAATGATGGGGGTAGAGATGCTCCCTCAGGTATACAGAGTTGGTCTCTGTGCCTAGTAAAAAAAACACACTATATTTTTCTGTGTTCTTATTCTTGCCATTCACAAAGATTTTGGAGTGCTTTTGCTAGTGTGTGAGTTGTTGAAGCTGCCTTGATTCCCGCTTTCAGTTCCCCCTCCTCCCCGCTACCTGGGTCTCTAAAAGAGTACACACATGAGCACGAAGGCATTGTGTAGTGCAAGAAGTGCAGTGTTGCACACTGGTGCTTGTGAGGTCCATTTTGAAAATGTAGATCATGGCTCCTGCATGGACTAGGGAGTTGGAACGGATGACCTCCAGGATCCTTTCAAACTCTAAAATTCTATTTTTATTTTCTAGATCTTTAGATCAAAAGCAAATCCCCTTTGTGCTTTTGAATCTGTGCAAGATGTAGCTGAATCAAGTGTATTTTTAATTATCAGCATCAGGGTTGCCAAACTCTTGCTTGTTGGAGGGTGTGTGTGTGTGTGTTTCTCTAACCCAGGGATAACCAACATGATGGCTGCAGATATTGTTGCATGACATCTCCCATTACCCCGATCAATGGCCCTGTTGGCTGTACTGATGGAAAAGGAGGTCCAACAATATCTGGAGGGCACCACATTGGCCAACCCTGCAGATGTGAAACATGAATGTGGGAAGTGGTGAGAAAAGATACATGTTAAATGTGTATTTCCCAGCTGAAGTAACACACCTGACCATCTAAAGCAGGGTTTCCCAAACCTGGTTCTCCAGCTGTTTTTGGACTACAATTCCCATCATCCCTAGCTTGCAGGACCAGTGGCCAGGGATGATGGGGATTGTAGTCCAAAAACAGCTGGCGACCCAAGTTTGGGGAATTCTGATATAAAGGGTGAGGGGCATGAGACCAGTAAGTCCAGGGTACAAAATGGTCTAGCTGCAGGTGAATTGGGAAGTTAACAAGTACATCCCTATTTACGTCTATTAGAAGAAATAGGTTAAAGATATTTGGAAGACTGTGCACCAGTTGCTGGGAAATAATAGTAGGAAGTGGACTCTGCTTTCCCACTCAGCCTTCCCACCCTGGGCTTCCCAGAAATATCTGGTTGGACACTCCAGAAAACAGGATTTTGGACTAGATAGACCGTTGGTCTGGTCTAACAGGGACTCCTATGTTCTTATGACTCACCTTAGCAGCTTGGGATCAGTTTACTTGAACACTTCGATCTGCATAACTGGTTCTGTTACAGGTGCCTTGTAATGCCCATTCTGCATTGGTTAAGAAATCAGTCTTCTATTGGGGCAGCGCCCACACTTTGGAACTCCCTGCCTATTGACATCAGGCAGGTGCCTTCACTGTACACTTTTGAGAACCTACTGAAACCACTTTTTGTTTAACCAAGCCTGTCCTGATGCATAGAATGTTGGCACATGCTTTAATCTGGTTTGTAGCTCATAACTTGATTTTAATTATTGTTTGGATATTTTAAGTAGTTGTTTTTGACTTCTTTTCACTGATACTTTTAGTGTTTTTTGTAAACTGCTTTGAGGATTGGTTACAATCAAGCAGCATATAAATATTGTGAATTAATTAACAAATGAATTTCCTAATTATGCATTCTGAGGAGTTGTGGGGCAGGCAATTTAAAGGGAGTTTAAAGTCTTCTGGAATTCAGTGGGATCATAACAATTTATTGGCGCGAGGACATTACTCATTGCATTATACCTAGGGATAGGGATAAATTTGATTCAGTCTGCATTTAAAACAAACCTGCCTAATGCACAACTGAAACACAGCCATCCTTTAAAATTTGTACTTCTCCAAATTTTTCAGTGCAGTTCTCCAGCCAAGTAATGCATGCAAAAAGACATATATTGGAGTAAAGTGTGCATAGAAATGCATATGAAATTAACATACAAAAATGCATTGAGTTAAGATTGTTCTGCATAAATGTGTATATTAAGCAAAATTGCATGCAAAAATTTGTATATTAGAAGAAATGAAATCTGCACTGAAATGCTGGTTAAACTTTCATAAGGATATATATATATATATATATATATATATATATATATATATATATATATATATATATATATATGGGACGCGGGTGGCGCTGTGGGTTAAACCACAGAGCCTAGGACTTGCCGATCAGAAGGTAGGCGGTTCAAATCCCTGTGACAGGGTGAGCTCCCGTTGCTCGGTCCCTGCTCCTGCCAACCTAGCAGTTCGAAAGCACATCAAAGTGCAAGTAGATAAATAGGTACCGATCCGGTGGGAAGCTAAACGGCATTTCCGTGCGCTGCTCTGGTTCGCCAGAAGCGGCTTAGTCATGCTGGCCACAGACCCGGAAGCTGTACGCCGGCTCCCTCGGCCAGTAAAGCGAGATGAGCACCGCAACCCCAGAGTCGGTCACAACTGGACCTAATGGTCAGGGGTCCCATTACCTTTTATATATATAAAAAAAATTGCCAACTGATGTGGAAATGTGAAGAGCTGAATTTAAGATTGGATAAATGAGAAATCCAAATAAGATTAAATTGACAGACTCACCCATTCGTATTATGCACACAAGTAGGCTGATGCACACACTAGCATATGCCAGACTAGCATAGCTCCTAAAAGTGGACTGGAAAGAGCCTAGTTTATATCTCAGTTCATGGTTTCCCAGCCTCAGCCCCGCACCCCAACCTGTGACATGATTGTAGCAATACTGGCCCTCCTTTCAAAGCGGTTGTAAGGACCACTAAGATCATGGAGGCTTAGTTCTTTGAACAACTCAGAAATCTGACTTACAAGTGCTGTTACTGGTTGGAGGGGATTGTGCCTGTGGATATAGCTGATATAGCAACATTATTATTCCTTATGGGCTAGGCTTATGTAAAAGTGCTTGCTTGCTCTCATTCCGATTCCCCAAAATAAACCCAATTATCACATTGTGAAAGTATGCAGGAAGGGATCCAGTGCGTTCCTTCCCTGATGAAAGCCACAATCCCTCGATTTGAAGAACATCTGCCAGCAAAGAAGAGAAAGTGAGATGGAGGTGTAGTTTAGCATCAACACACTCCAACTGTACAGTGGTACCTCGGGTTAAGTACTTAATTTGTTCCGGAGGTCCGTTCTTAACCTGGAACTGTTCCTGAAGCACCACTTTAGCTGATGGGGCCTCCTGCTGCCGCCGTGCCGCTGGAGCACGATTTCTGTTCTCATCCTGAAGCAAAGTTCTTAACCCGAGGTACTATTTCTGGGTTAGCAGAGTCTGTAACCTGAAGCGTCTGTAACCCGAGGTACCACTGTATTCTATTCACAAGGCCAGACTGGCTTGCTTTGTAACCAGAGATTCCAAACTTTGGGAGGGAAATTCTGAGCTATATTTTGGTTTTGCATCAGACACGAAAAATGCTCAGAGCCGCATTTTTGTTTAAGTATTTACAGCTGCTTTACTCTTAGTTACATTTTTTAAAAACAAAATTGCTCTGCCTTTCCTCCAAAGAGATCAAGGGTGTCTGTTTTCTCCCTTTGCCCTGTTTTAGCAGCACAACAACCCTATGAAGTAGGAATAACCATTCCAAAGTCACCCAGGTTGCAAGCCTAAGTACAAGGGCAAATTTCCTGGGAGTAAGTCCCATTGAACTCAGTGGGCCTGAACCCCAAGGACACATAAACAAGGATATGCTGCCAGTACGATACATAGCTGAGTAAGAATTCGAACCCAGGTCTGCCCTGATCTGAGTTTGACATTCTGTCTACTTCATCAGCTGAAGTCAGACAGTGGCCAATGGCTGCCTAATGCCAGAATTCTCACCAAAGACCTTGGAGTAGCTGGGCTTTGGTGTGATCCAACCAGGGTCTTCTACTGCTGTCATTATCAATGTACGTGGAACTAATTGAGAGGATTAGGACAGCAGTCAGGCTAGAAACTCAATGAGACAGTAATTCAGCATTGAGCAGGAGGCTCAGAGAGAATTTGGAATTAAAGAAAGCTTATTTAAATAAAGTTCTTTGTTTTGTAATACTCCTGCCTGATCCTTAACAATAATCAACGCCAATTGAAACATGATGGCAGCGGTTTAGAAATAGAACCCAGTTGAAGCAGCAAAGAAAATAAACAGAAAAAAGCAAGGATTTTTAGATCATGGGGAGAAGCCTGAAACCTCCAGCACCACTGAATTTCACTGCATTTAATCTAGCCCAGGCATGGAGGTGCTGGAGAGAACAGTTTGAATTCTATCTGGATCTTGCCTTGGAGAGAGAGGAAGACAAGCATAAGGACCACTTAATGACAGCTGGAGAAGAGCAGTGGCTGCAGTCCAGCACAGCCGTGTCAGTGTCTAGTGGTCTTTTCTGACTTCAGCGTGGCCAGGAGAGGACATCACTTCCTCCTCCACCGGCTGTGTTGGCTGCTGGGGCTCGCCCCCGGTTGCAGCCAATCGTAGGTGAGCCCAGGGGCGTGGCATGGTGGAGTGGACCAGAGGGAAAACTTATTCCCTCTAGTCCACTCCCTGGCTGTAAAAGCCAGCTGCACCCAGGACCCAGCCTCAGTAGACGCTGGCTTCCCCACCCACCTTAAGCATAGCACCCACCCAAATGGTGACCTCGGAGGAGTAGCCCCAGTTTGATGTACATAAAGCTTGGATCAGCAGCCTAGTTATTATCTGGAAACCCTCAAGAAAGCTGTGCATTTGTATCAATCCTAAACCTCTGAACAGAGCACTAAATCACAGCCATTACCCGCTACCAGCCATTGATGCTGCAGTATGTGACCTATCCTGAGCCAAGGTTTTATGTAAAAAATGGATTCTGGCGTGTAGAGCTCGACACAGAGTCAAGCTATTTGACCATTTTGGCAACTCCTTTTGGCATATATCGTTGGCTGTGAATGCCAATGGGCATCAACTTCGCCCCTGGACTATTTCTGTGTCGACTGAATCAGGAGCCTGAAAGTAATTGCTGATGACATACTAATTGTGGGAGAAGGAGATAGTGGAAAGGCGGTGACAAAAAACCATGACAAAAAAGTTAAGCATGTTTTTTGGAGAGGGGCAGAAAAAGAAATATGAAACCAAACCCTGATAAAGTCAGGTTAGGACTAAAGGAAGAGCCTTTTATTGGCCACCTGTTGACAGCAGAGGGTCAGAAAGAAGACCCAGCAAAAGTAGAAGCAATCTGGATGATGCCAAGACCTATGGATGTTGAGTCCAAAGATATTTGGGAATGGACCACAGTTTGTCTTGGGACGTTTCAGGGCATTCCAAAAGCAGTGGGAATTTGATCACCTGACATCTTCACCTGCCTATCCCCAGAGCAAGGGGAAAACTGAATCAGCCATCAAAATAGCTAAGGTAATTTTGACCAAAGCCAGAAAAGCAGGGGCTGATGCAAATCTAACTATCCTGGACCACCAGAAATAACCTTCACAAGATTTGGATGGAAGTCCAGCACCACAGAGACTGATTGGTTGAAGGACAAATATTTTTATTACCAATAAGGGGTCACTTATAATGCAACCAGAGGGCTGCAGCAGAGGATCTGAACTGATTGAAATTAAGACAGGCATATGCACCCAATAGCCTTAAAAACTGCTTTCCCCAAAATTCTTGGGAAAGGGGTAAGTGTGTGTTTTAAGTATGCAGACATATAGCTGGATTCCAGAGTCAAAACAGTGTAGAGGGCCTTCCAGACAGGTAGGTGCTTATTATGGAAAAGGTGCTCCCCACCTATGCCATTTTTATTTTATTTTTATTTTTGCAGTACCCTCAAAACACAGTTGGCATCAAAATGCCAGCCTCTATTCCTGCCCCCATTTAATCCAGATTTACCTTCTCTGGAGGAGATCAGATAAATGAAAAACCTTTCATCAAGATCCTGTTTGTGATACCTGCATGAACTGTTTACAGTATTAAGCCCCACCCCAAACACAGCCTTGAAGCACCTGGATCATAAAAGACTAAAATCAGCTCACCCTTAGGCTAGGCAGTGTTAAAGAAGCTGGAATAGTGAAGATGAGGGGGCCCCAATCCCCTGCGGCAGCTTAGTGGAAGAGCATGCAAAAGGTCTCATGTGCCATCCTCAATGCCTCCAGGTAGGACTGGAGAAAACTCATGCCTGAAACACCAGAGAATACCACAACACACACATAACTGGCTGTAAAGTAACATAAAGGTAAAGGTAAAGGTACCCCTGCCCGAATGGGCCAGTCTTGACAGACTCTAGGGTTGTGCGCCCATCTCACTCAAGAGGCCGGGGGCCAGCGCTGTCCGGAGACACTTCCGGGTCACGTGGCCAGCGTGACATCGCTGCTCTGGCAAGCCAGAGCCGCACACGGAAACGCCGTTTACCTTCCCGCTATAAAGCGGTCCCTATTTATCTACTTGCACCCGGGGGTGCTTTTGAACTGCTAGGTTGGCAGGCGCTGGGACTGAACAACGGGAGCGCACCCCGCTGCGGGGATTCGAACCGCTGACCTTTCGATCGGCAAGCCCTAGGCGCTGAGGCTTTTACCCACAGCGCCACCCGCGTCCCTAAAAAAGTAACATAACATATACATAACATATATAATAAAACTATAATCGTCATATCAAAAAATTGTAAAGCACAGTTCCTGGTGGCAATACATATCATATTACCATTAACCTTCTGGTTGATAGCCGAAGAATTGATGCTTTTGAATTATGGTGCTGGAGGAGACTCTTGAGAGTCCCATGGACTGCAAGAAGATCAAACCTATCCATTCTTAAGGAAATCAGCCCTGAGTGCTCACTGGAAGGACAGATCATGAAGCTGAGGCTCCAGTACTTTGGCCACCTCACGAGAAGAGAAGACTCCCTGGAAAAAACCCTGATGTTGGGAAAGATGGAGGGCACAAGCAGAAGGGGACAACAGAGGACTAAACAACTAAACAACAACAATGTTTTTATTGTCAAAGTCCAAGGATAGTCAAGTCCAAAGATTGTCAAGACCAACAATTACAATGTACAGTTCCTGTTGGCAATGCCATTTCATACTGATATCTTCCTTCTGCATCATCCTATGTCTTAAAAGTGTAACAAACGAACTTGCCTTCTACATAGTCCTATGTCTTGAGAGTGTAACAAACAGAACTACTTACTGGCAATAAGGCAGCTGATGATAGACCAGTTCTCAGGATACACCCTTGTTTCGCCCATTGGGCTTCTTCAGCGACCAAGTTTCCAGGGGATTTTTCAGTAGGTGTTTTCAGCTGAAATAGTCCACAGGAAGGCAGAAGTTGCCAGTCAGAGATGCTCCGTATCAATGATCATTGAAACTAAGTTATATAGGAGCAATCCCTGCAATGGGGCAGGTGCAGGCAGTTAGAATTAAATATTCTTAAAGAGACCTAATCACAATGATACCCAACCGATGGAAATCTAATATGTTAAGTATTCCACATCTACATTCATATACACTATTACAACTTTATCAAACTTATTCAGTGAGGCTTAATCATCAATGAATCCCATCTGGCAAATGGTCATTGTGGTCTCCACTTCCTAATATTGATCATAAAAGTATAAATTAATCTTGTGGTGTGTGTTGAAGCACCAGAGAGGCACTGCCACTCACAGGATTCAGTGGGCCAGTGGTCTGACTCGGTATTAAAGGCATATTTCTATGTTCCTAAATAAGGCGCTGTGTAATCGAGGCTTCACAAAATCATCTTATTGTTCTTCTTTGCTCCACCACTCACTACTAGAGGTGTCTTAGGTGAATGCAGGTGGAAGAAAAGCAATTGAGGCCCAAGTTAGAGATGATGTTAATAAATTTGTCTTTGCTCTTAACTGTGCAGGTGTTTGTTCATTTGTTGTTGTTTTTTAAAAATGCAAATCATATTGGATGGCAGCTGATCATTATTGGGATCTCTGCTTGCAGATTGGGGTGGCTTGCAGCAATATATATGTACATCTCACTGGTGCTTGGTTTCCCCCAGGAAAATGCCAGCCCCCTGGCTCCACCTTTGCCGCGGTTCTTGCTAACAGAATTCTCCAACCCCGTGTTTGAGGAGGGCGGCGAGGCACCAGCCCAGAGTCAGCCGGATGTTGAGAACAGAAACAGCACCAAACTCTCCGCCAATGGCTTTGGTATCACCAACCGGGGAAGGAAGGAGGGAGCGGGTGAAGACATTGGCAGGGCCCCACTAGGCAGACCTGTGTTTGAGGGTGTTAGCATGAGTGAAACAGAGCCAAGTGGTCCAGTGGGGGAATCCTTTCAGGGCAAAGGTGATTGGGGAGCCTTTTGAGCCATAGGCTAGGAATAGAGGATTATTTTTTTCAGCTGGGGGGAGCACATTCTCTTCTGGGCAAACTTTCAGGGGCTACATGCTAATAGCTGGAAGGGCTAGAGGCTCAGGTGTGAAGTTTACCTTTCTGCTGTAGATTAGCACTCCTCTACATCCTCTGTGGGATGCGGGTGGCGCTGTGGGTTAAACCACAGAGCCTAGGACTTGCCGATCAGAAGGTTGGCGGTTCGAATCCCTGTGATGGGGTGAGCTCCCGTTGCTCGGTCCCTGCTCCTGCCAACCTAGCAGTTCGAAAGCACATCAAAGTGCAAGTAGATAAATAGGGACCGCTCCAGCGGGAAGGTAAACGGCGTTTCCGTGTGCTGTTCTGGTTCGCCAGAAGCGGCTTAGTCATGCTGGCCAAATGACCCGGAAGCTGTCTGCGGACAAACGCCAGCTCCCTCGGCCCATAGAGCAAGATGAGCGCACAACCCCAGATTCGGTCACGACTGGACCTAATGGTCAGGGTTCCCTTTACCTTTACCTTTACAGAATCACCATCAGAGTTCAAGGACCCATTCCAGCCAGGCAGAAACACTTGAGGAGGGTGCAAGGCAGGGACAATGAAGGATGTGGTCTGAGGACAAGGGGGGGTGTCTGGGGAGATTCCCAGGGGACAGTTGGTGATAGAGAAACTGCTGACTGAGAGTAGCAAGCATTGCTGCTAAGCTACAGAAGAATGAATATAATTTCGGTCTCAGACCAGTTCCAGCCCACATACCATATCAAGGAATCATAAAACATGATAGGGATACATTTGAATTTTCAATTAGGTATAACAGGGACAATACAGATATAGCAACAGTTAAAAATATATAAATTAAAACTTAGTCACTAAAATTATCATTTAAGGACTTAATCATTATGAAAGCACAGCTTGTCCCCTAAGTTTTATGGCAATCGCACAGAATTTGGCTCCCCTTAACGTGATCTCAGGATCCTTGTCCTCTACCAGGGATTTTAGACAATGAAGTTCGGATTCATTTGGAGATTTTTGCATAGCAGGGGTAATAAATACCGAGCGTATATCCCCATAGAAATGGCAGCATAACAAGGCATGGAAGACAGTTTCTACCTCCATCAAGCGGCAGGGGCAGACTTGTTCCGCGTATGGTTTAGCCTCGAATCTGCCCTGCAGTAAGGCAGATGGCAGCACAAAGCTACAGAAGAAGCGTGTGCAGGATGCAGTCATAGATAACATCAGGGACTGCTCCAGTCAGAACTGTTGCCTGCTCTTCACCCACCACTACCATTTAGCATCTGACCACTTTAAAAACTGCAAACTGCCTTGGGTGCATAGCAATGCAATGCAATGCAATGAATGAATGAATGAATAAATAAATAAGCTAGATGGCCAAATAGCTTCACTTGTCTGAGGCCACTTCCTATGTTCCTGTTGCAGAGTAGTGTGGTGGTGGTGGTGGTACAGGGGAGGATGCTGGGAGGTGTCTGTGCCATGACTGTGACTCTCTGCTTCTGTGCCTGCAGCCCAACAGGTCCGGGACATGGCAAGCAGGAAGTTCAAGCCAGACTGCAAGTTCTCCTGGCTCTGCGTGGCCATTCTCAGCACGGTGCTTCTCCTCCTCCTGGCCTTATTGGTGGGCATCATCATCGCATCCCGTAAGTTCCAGGCACCAAGACCTGTCCAGAATTCTTCCAGAGAGGGTGGGCCCCTCCTGCTTTCCCCAGAAAGTACTTATTTCTGCCCTAACCAACCAGCTCCCCCCCCCCCACACACACCTTTTAAGGCAGAGCTGGAAGATCTAATAGAAGCAGGGGTAGTCAACATGGTGCCCTCCAGATGTTTTGCATTTGTCTTGGCAATTCACATTTGTCTTGGCAATTCACATCCTGTTTAGTTGCGGTAGTTTCTAAGTCGTGTACAAGGACTCAGTGCAAGATGAAAATCAGTTAAAACTATGAAATTCAGTATCTGGCCTCCTTATTTACTTCATATAAGCTGTTTCCTTTATGAATAATTATTAAGATTTTTCTAAATATAACTTAAATAGCCAGATACAGGATAAAGGTAGTATTTTATTTGGTTGTTTGTATTGTTGTATGTTATGCTTATTGTATGTTATGTTCACGTTTAATGAGGGTGGATTTCTGTATTGGGGGGAGATTATGTTATGTTGTAAATAAAATTTCCAATAAAAATTTAAAATTAAAAAAAACTATGAAATTCAGTTAAAATGCCTTCTGGGTTTTTTGAGGAAGTCTTCAGTAGGCGCTGTAGATTCAACAGGGAGGAGGCCTCTCTGAGCTCAGCTGGAAAGGAGGTTCATAAAAGTAGGCCCACAACATTGGATATAAGCTGTGTGTCTGGGCCATGTTGTGGGTCTCTTGTCCAACTCTCAGCACCCATAACAAACCGCAGTCCCCAGGATTATCTAGGGGACGCCGTGGTTGTTCCAAGTGGTATAATACCACTTTAAATTTATAACACAGGCTGGGCCGTGGCGGCTGTCCTGAAGTCTTCAGTGATTGGACAGGGATATAATGACTCACACTGCTCCCCGCCCCCCAGTGAAGTGTAGTTTCCCCCTTTACAGAGCTGCAGTTCTCAACATCTTTAACAAGCTACGGTTCCCTGGGTTCTTTGTAGGGGAAGCAATGTGCTTCAAATGCATGTTGGATGTGCTTTGAATGTATATTTGGTCCACAAAAGATGGGCCAAAGGTCTGGTTCTGAATAAAGCTGCTTGAGGGTGGAGAGGCAAACCTCAGCCACTCTCATCCCTTGTAAATTCTCTTTCTATGGCAGCAGAGCTGAAGTCCCACCATCCCGTCAAACCCTCGCTCGGGGCTTCTCATGCCCACACCATCACCGCTACCTCAACTCCCATCACCAGGACCTCGCCAAGCCCCCAGCCCACAGGGACGCTATCCCTGGGAGGAGAGTCGCCTGTTACCACAATGCCAGCACCTCGTGAGTAGACAGCTGATGCCAGAGTTGTTTCCCCACCCGCCTTTAGAAGCATGAGCCCTACCCATTGTGTGTGGGGGTGCCTGCTTTCCATTTGGTACAATGAACAGTCACAGAGTTGATACTCTCTAACCCACCCCTGACAAGTGGCCCCTGGAAAGTTGCCCAGAAGGGAATGTGGCCCTCAGCCTGCAAAGGATTACCCATTCCTGCTGTAAATCCATTTGACATGTCTGTTATGTACTGAAGTTCTCACCCTGGGCCAGCAGGGGGATACTGTAGATAGTTTTCACTCAGGTCCACATATGCAAATAAGGAATTGAAAGTGACGTTCAGTGATTGGATAGTTACAGAAAGTGGTTACTGTTGCGTTGTAGTGGAGCTCTATATAAGCAGGCTAGCTGAACCCTTCAGTTCAGTTCTGTCCTGGCCTGTGAATAAACAAGAGCTGTTTGAAGAATCGCTGTGTCGTCTGATATGTTCACCCACAACTTAACAGTGTCATTGTTGTTGTTGTTGTTTTCCCCACGTGCAGTATGTGGAGGGATCCTGCTTGGCCCCAAGGGCACCTTCAGCTCCCCCAACTACCCAGCCCCCTACCCCCCAAACATCTTGTGCAAGTGGCACATCCGGGTGGCGCCAGGAATGGCGATCCAGCTGAAGGTGGAGGAGCTAGACATTGAGAGTTCGGCCTCATGCCTGTACGACCGGCTGGAGATATTCAAGGAGCAGGACGCTTCCTCGTTGTGGGATGGGAGTACCAGGTAAAGTGCCATCATCCTATTGTTTATTTCGAATTGACTTAATTTTTAAGTGAACTGTTTTGCTGCTCTTCTCTTTGGGAGAAAGGGCAGGATATATCCTCTGACCATTCCCACCCCTTTTCTCTCCCAGGGGGCCATGGGAAAGTGCTGGCTATTTTTCCCTTGGCTCCCTTTTTAAACAGGTGGCTTTTGCAGGTACTGTGGCTCCGTGGCACCGGCAACGATCAACACCAACTCCAGCCAGCTTCAGGTCATCTTTGTCTCAGATGACAACATTGCTCCCTCAGGCTTCACTGCCTGGTATCGGGCTATTCTGCCCAGTGAAAGTAAGTGAAACCAGGTGGTGTGGAGGGGGCATGGGCAGAGAGCAATTCTCTTAGGGGGTTGAAAGAGATCCTTCCAAACGTTTTATTCCAAGTACTGGGTAGTGCTGGTGATTTGGGGAATGTATTACTACTTGGTTGCTAGACCCATTGACTTGCCAATCAGAAGGTCGGCGGTTCGAATCCCCGTGACAGGGTGAGCTCCCGTTGCTCGGTCCCTCTCCTGCCAACCTAGCAGTTCAAAAGCACGTCAAAGTGCAAGTAGATCAATAGGTACCGCTCTAGCGGGAAGGTAAACGGCATTTCCATGCGCTGCTCTGGTTCACCAGAAGCGGCTTAGTCATGCTGGCCACATGACCCGGAAGCTGTGCACCGACTCCCTCGGCCATTAAAGTGAGATGAGTGCTGCAACCCCAGAGTCGGCCACGACTGGACCTAATGGTCAGGGGTCCCTTTACTCCATTGAAGCTAACGGAGAAGACTAAATTAGGTTTGTTCATTTCAGTGTGATGAACCTAACCTAAGTTAGGCTCATTCATTTTAAGGAGATGGGAGAAGCCATGGCGCTTTTGATCAGTTCCAAAACAAGTTTCTAGCCAGTGGGAATCCTTAGCTTCTTGTCCTCCAGGGGTGTTTGTCTGTTCCAGAGAACTGTTCCTGGGATGAGTTTCTCTGTGACCAGGGGCTCTGCCTCCACTCGGCCTACGTGTGTGACGGTTATCACGACTGCCATGACAAGAGAGATGAAGGCAACTGTAGCACAAAGCACAAAGGTACAGTCTGCAACAGCCAGCGCAGCTGACCCCCAATGTTGCTGTGGGGCAGTGGCAGAAGAATTATTGGTGGGAAGACATTGCAAAGGGGAGGCAAATGCCCAATACTGGAGAAATGAGCTCCAAACCAAATTGTGAGCTTCCCTTTCTATGGGTGGAGCAGTTAAGAACATCCAGAATTTCTCTTTATTCTGGTCCATGTTTTTACTGGAGCTGACCTAATTTGCACCTCTCAGGCAAATGAATGGGATTGTCCCCAGGGCTAATCTCCGACCAGAGCCGGCTCACCCAGGACACAAGGTGAAGCAGCCACCTCAGGCAGCGGAAGTACAAGAGGTGGCGCTCTGTCTACCCCATTGCTGAGAGGGAGGCATTCCAACTAACTCTAACCCTCTCAGAGCTACCATTTCCAGAGTTCCTTCAGAAGAGCGATTGACTGTTAAACCACTCTGGAAATGGTAGCTCTGCGAGGGAAATAGGGGGCTGCTTAACTCTCAGCACTCTTACCATACTACAGTTCTCGGGACTCTCTTGGGGAAGGCATGACGGCTGTTTACAGTGATATGATACTGACCTAAAAGAATAGTTCAGACACGGGTGGGGGGCTTAGCACTGTCTGTTTCAGAATAGATCTGGGGAGGGGGCTTCTATGTGAAGTGGTTTGGCCAGGTTCCCAAATCTGTTACTGGAATCTGAGTGGTCATGCTGGAAATGAGGAGTTATCTCTCGCTTGGACTACTGCAATGCGCTCTACATAGGACTACCTTTGAAGGTGACCCAGAAACTGCAATTAATCCAGAATGCATCAGCTAGACTGGTGACTGGGAATGGCCGCCGGGACCACATAACACCAGTCCTGAGAGATCTGCATTGGCTCCCAGTACGTTTCCGAGCACAATTCAAAGTGTTGTTGCTGACCTTTAAAGCCCTAAACAGCCTCGGCCCTGTATACCTGAAGGAGCGTCTCCACCCCCATCATTCTGCCCGGACGCTGAGGTCCAGCGCCGAGGGCCTTCTGGCGGTTCCCTCATTGCGAGAAGTGAGGTTACAGGGAACCAGACCCACCCTGCCTTCAGATGTGAAGGAAATAAGCAGATATCCTATCTTTAAAAGACATCTGAAGGCAGCCCTGTTTAGGGAAGTTTTTAATATTTAATGCTGTATTGTTTTTAACACTTGACTGGGAGCCGCCCAGAGTGGCTGGGGAGACTCAGCCAGATGGGCAGGCTATAAATTATTATTATTATTATTATTATTATTATTATTATTAGTTCAGCAGTATCGCTCTGCACAACTATTAAGAGTGTAGAACCGCTGTCCTGTTTTTCATCTGAAATAGCTATGGGAGTTGCAAAGAATTTGCGTCTCGTGAGAAGAAGGAAAGTACAATAGTAAAAGAGAAAGGGAAGAGGGAAGGAGGAGAGAGAGAGTGCGCAGAGGGAAAAATCACTTGGATATCCTTCTCTCTGGTGCCAATAATGCAAGCCCATCCATCACCACAGTATGTGTGTGTTTCCTTACAGGTTGTGGAGGGACCCTCACCAGCATGGAAGGGCAATTATTCTCCCCAAATTACCCACAGCCATACCCACATCTGCAGGTGAGTAGCGACTTGAGTTGTATTGTGGACCAGAGGAGAGGGACCCATCTTGCCCCACACTACCTTGCATGCACCCAACAGAGCTGGGCAGTGATGCTTTTACCTTGCAGCAATGCAATGCCCTAATAAGTGGCAGAATCTGAAGCAGTCCAGTGTCAGTTCTTGGAAAGCCGCTGCAACTGTGGGACTTTTGAGAAATTTTCAGTAGAGAACGCGTGGTAGTTCAGACCCTGCAATCCTCTAATAATAAATGTGGGCATGTGAGTGGGGTGGATGTGTAAATGTGGCTTTGGCCCACCCTAGTGCCAGAATGTAGCTCCTGGAAGAATGCTTGCATGGGAATGTTAAGATTCTCCCCCTCTATATTGTTAGAGGGGGGTATTGTTAGAGGGGAAGAGTCACATGTAAAAGAATCTCTGCCCAGCCCTTGGGCTGGAATGACATCTGCACACAAGTTCAAAATGTAGCAAAGTTCCAGAACCTAAATTTGTGCTTGGGGGAAAGGACTGTAGTTCATTAGCAGAGCTTCAGCCTTGCATGTAGAAGTTCCCCGGTAGGTTCAGCCCCCAGCAATGGAGGCTTGTCCATTAGGGCAAATGGGGCATTGTCCTAACAACCTCAGCCTGCTCCTTATGAACCCCAATATGCCTGTCTTCTTACTTACTTCCAGCCCAGTGGACAGCACGGACTATCAGCTTCCTCCTATTTAGTCTCACTGTTTATTGTTCTGCCCGGACCCTGAGGTCCAGCGCCGAGGGCCTTCTGGTGGTTCCCTCGCTGCGAGAAGCCAAGTTACAGGGAACCAGGCAGAGGGCCTTCTCGGTAGTGGCGCCCGCCCTGTGGAACGCCCTCCCATCAGATGTCAAAGAGAAAAATAACTATCAAACTTTTAGAAGACATCTGAAGGCAGCCCTGTTTAGGGAAGCTTTTAATGTTTAATAGGTTATTGTATTTTAGTGTTTTGTTGGAAGCCGCCCAGAGTGACTGGGGAAACCCAGCCAGATGGGCGGGGTATAAATAATAAATTATTATTATCATATATTATTTATTTGTTTGTTTGTTTGTTTGTTTGTTTTGGTTTGGTTTGTTTTGTTTAGAGCATTTGTGCCCCATTCTTTAGCCAAAGGCACACCTAGAGTGGCTTACATGCAACCTATTAAAGCAAGACAGTCCCTGTTTGCAGCCTTATAATCTTAAAACAAAACAAAACACGACACACAAGGGGAAAGGGACAGGGAAGGAACAAGCAAAACTAAAACTCAAGCACTGATTCTGGTTGCTCTGTAATGACCTGCTGGCACAGTTTAGCGGCAGGAGGTGTCTGAGACAGCTGGTCTTACAGCAAAGCTGATGGGATGAGCTCCCCATCTTTCTCACTGATGAATGGCTTCAGTTTTGAAAGTCAGCAGCGGGGAGGATGGAGGCAGAACTAGAGAATAGTTGTCTGTGCCTCTCACAGACTCTGCCACCTTCCCCACTAGAATCAATGAGCACCAGCCATTGGCAGTCTCCCCAGCATCCCCAGGAAAGTCTGGGAGAGAACTCCCTGCCTGAAACCCTGGACCGCAGCTTCCAATCATTGCAGACAACACTGAGCTCGGGATAAGGCAGTTTCCTGCATGTCTCTGAGAAGGCAGGAGATGTCCCAGGAGAGCTGCTGCCAGCCAGAGCAGACAATACTGAGCGAAATGGTCCAATGGTCCGACTCAGAATAAGATGGCTTCCTAGGAACCTGAGATCTGAGTAGAAAGAAACCCTCCATAGTCCAGCTCTTATACCGCCATGCTGAGCCACGCTAGGAGCTCCCCTATCGTGTACAGTAGACCTCCCAGACCTGCCTTTCTCTTCCAGCTCTGCCTCTGGCATATCTCAGTGCCTGTGGGCCACGTGGTGGACTTGCATTTCCACAACTTCAGCCTCGAGTCCCAGGAGGAGTGCAACTATGACTTTGTGGAGGTGTACGACAGCGCTGGGATGGGAGCAACCAGCGTCATGGGCAGGTATGGTGGTCTTTCATCCCACCCCACCCACCCACCCACTCCAGTAATGCTAGCGAATTCCAACTGTTACCATGGTCAGAACCCAACAATTCCCAGAAGTTTCATGGAAATATATGGAGAGCCTGACTGCAGAATCAGGCCAAAGGGGGCCAGTCCAATCCAGTGTCCTATTTGCATGGTCAACCAGATGAGAAGTCCTCTTTTAAAGCCATCCAGATTAACGGCCATCACTACATCTTGTCACCGTGAATTCTGTGATTTAGCCCTGCACCATGTGACGAAGTCCTTCCTTCTGCCTGTCCTGAGTCTTCCAACCTTTGACTTCATCAGATTTCCATAGGTTGTAATATGTTGACTAAGGGAGAAATGCTTTTTTCCTCTCTGCTTTCCCCACAATACCTTTCCCTGTTCACTGTGAATAATGTATACACATTTCAATGGAAGGTTTTCACCAGAAGAGGGAGCCTCTGGCCTAGGTCTATGCTGCAAGCCAGAAACCACTAGGACAGTAACCAGTGTGGCAGCACTCAGGTGACACAAAGGGACCAATCAGGTCTTCCTTGCTCTATCCTATATGCAAATAGCAAACTCATTTTTTGAGTGTTGAATCTTTTGTAGTCCCAATGGCACCGTCTGCTCTCAAGAGCAGGTGATCAGGTCTTTCGGGGGGAACCCCAAGGTGCGCAGAATTGCCATATATATCCCACCAGCATGATGAGTCCCCAAACTGGGATGCACATCTTCCCGTCTGTGCTTCCACACCAAGTCATGTGATCCATGCGAGATCACGGAGACCAGAAGATGCCACATTGAGATCATAGCCCCAATAAAAGCATTTTTTCGGGCCAATATCTCTGCGTGAAATTGTGTGATATCACAGCACCCAAAATGGCCACCAAGCTCTCATGGGAAAACGTAGGATGTCCCAGTTTTTCTAGAGCACTTGCAGGGTGTGATTTATTTAAAGGGGTGAGAGGAAATTAAAGGAGAACCCCTCCAAAATAAAACACACTCAAGCCCGTAGAATACTGAGCATGCTCAGTGGGAATAGAATGCTGAGTATGGACAGGAATGGAAAACCAGGTGGAAGGGGAATGGAATAGAGTACTCTAGAACATGTTATATTTGGAACCCTGAGCAGGAGCATTTCACACAGCAACATTTTACTACAGACCCCAGTTGTAAAGCCTCTGATCTTGGTCTGGTCCTTAGTTGGAGTGATTCATCACTTCATGCAAAGCCAGACTTCTCTCTCTGGCTGGGCATCTCCAGTCTGTCTGCTCAGTCAGTGCTTGCTTTGCCTCCAGATAACCAGCCCCAAACAACAGCAGGTTTGTTTGTGTGTGTGTGTCCCTGTATTTAGAATTGGGTGCTTTGTTAAAAGTCAGTTTCCCCTTCCTCTTTTTGCAGGTTCTGCAGCTCTAACTTGCCCCCTGTCCTGACCTCCTCACAGCACGTCATGACAGTCCTCTTTGTGGCGGACGAAGGAATAGCTGACAACGGGTTCTTTGCCACTTACCATGCCCACAACGCCACGGAAAGTAGGTGATGGTGGCTCCTGGCACCTTTGTCTACCGCCAGCTGAGGTAGAATGGGCCAGCCAGCTCTCTCTTCAACATTTGTTTACCACCAGCCCCTGCTTACACATTAGCTCCTGGAGCTTCCCCCCTCCCCACATGGGCCTCAGAAAGGGGCAGCACTCTGCCCATCCTCAGAGGCACCCTCTCCTTTTAAAATTGTTACCTCCCATTACAAAGAGAAGACACCTTTCCAGAGCTCTGGGATTCCAGCCAAACTTCCTTAAATTTGGGGGGAGGTTGAACTATAAAGACATTGTGGTTATAAAACTACACCATGTTCCCCCCCCCCCTACCTCACCACCAATCCCAGCCTTGATATCCAGCCTGGTGAAGCGTTCTGGTGCACTCAGAAGCTTGCGCACTCTTCTGTAACATTATGGTTGTTTGCAGTAAAGGGACTTTGGAATCTTTCGAATCAAGAATGGTAGCTTGACCCTTAGATGTGCATGCTGGCGTAACCTCCCGCTCTTCCGCTCCTTAACAGCAGGGCTTTTTCTCTGAGAAAATCCAATTGATTTGGAATGTGGAGGGTCGGGAAATGTTTTCCTTGGTGTTGAATAGGTGGGGGTGGGACGTCATCCCTGCTCCCCCGAATGACTGCTGGCCACATACCTTGCCTTCTGTCTCTGTTAACAGAAAGTGTTCGAAGTCGCAATGGCTGGTCCCCACTGTGACTGGTAGGGCTGCAATAAGGGAGGCCAACAGTTGGTGGCGCCAAAGCCAATGACGGATAAGAGACAGAGCCTATGTCAGGCAGATCCAGCTCATTCTTGTCCTGTCTCTATCCTCCTCTCTGCTACGTTCTACAAGGGCACTGCTGAGACTAAGGAGGAGGTTGACAAGACTGTTTGTAAGTAAGAAGGCAGGCAGGTAGAAGAAGAAGAGTTTGGATTTGATATCCCGCTTTATCACTACCCTAAGGAGTCTCGAAGCGGCTAACAATCTCCTTTCCCTTCCTCCCCCACAACAAACACTCTGTGAGGTGAGTGGGGCTGAGAGACTTCAGAGAAGTGTGACTGGCCCAAGGTCACCCAGTAGCTGCATGTGGAGGAGCGGGGAATCGAACCTGGTTCACCAGATTACGAGTCCACCGCTCTGAACCACTACACCACGCTGGCTCACCAGCGTAGGGTAGGGGCTAGCTGAGGTCAGATTGAGGCCGATAGGGTCGTCTCCCATTTGCCCTAATGGGACCAGTCCGCACTGCACTGCTATCCACACATTTTTCTCTTCTGCCTCTGCATGCTCTTCTGCCTAGAAGCATGCTTTTTCTTAAAATGAAAACAAGGCTGAGGGGATGAAAGAAGGAAGATTTGGGCAGAGGGTTATGAAGGGGGGCAGCTGCCACCCCTAACAGCTACTTCACCAATAGCAGAAAAACTCCTGCTTTCTGCCACGTCATTCATGGAGCTTTGAGGAGCGGCCTCATTCATAAAAGCCTCGAGGTGGCACTGATGGTGCTGGATCTGGGGGCGGGGGGGGGGGTCATCTCTTGGGAAGGACTGCATTTGTTTGTTCTCAGACTCTAGCCCTCCTGGGATTACATACATTTTGGCAGTTCGGGTTTTTCTGTGTGTGTTTGTTGTTTTCCATAATTACTACTTAGCCTTACAGCAGGAAAATTCCGTCCAGGGGAGAGAGAAATCTCTAAGCGGGAATACCACTGACCTCAAAGCTTTCGTTCTCATGTGATTAGAGGAAAACTCACATCTGACTCCAGGCCAAACTTATGAACTGCTAAACTGTAGAACTGCACACACTAGGCATGGATGAATCTGTCAATTTCACTTTCTCGTTCTTATAATCTTATGCAAAGGTCACCACATTTCCACAGCAATTTGCACTAAAAGAACAAAAAGCTCGTGAAAATTTATCAGTATTTTAGTGCGAATTTCCCCAAATAAATGCATTTTTTGATGCAATTTTGATTAACGTGCACATTTTTGCAAGCAATTTTTCCTAATACAATTAATCGTCTTCATAAAAACGTGTCTTTTATGAACACTTTCCTTTAATATATTCATTTTTGGACACATTTTTGATGGAAAGCTGCATCACAAGATTCGGAGAAGGGTGAATTTCACAGGATAGCTGTGTTTCATTTTGTGCATTGCTTCAGGAAGTGCAAATCAGGTAGTTTCTCATTAAGAGACAAACAAAATCTAATCCCCCCCCCAAAAAAAGTTCCTTGCTTCCTCATCAGATGATGGGGAGTTCCAGGACAGAGTACCATCCAAGTGCTTCTCTTAGGCCAAATGATTCCCTTTACTCTTTGGAAGAATTTTCAAGTTTCCCTGAAAGAAGAAAAGCAACTGGGAATTCCTGGCTCCCCTACCCAGATTTAGTGGCCACTTCGTGACAAAACTATATAATGATGCTATCTGTGCTGACATGTAGATTAAGGGGGAAAGAGTGAGCCTTGCAGAGGTTAATCAAAACAAGTTTGTGTTAAAGCAGTCGCATGCTGCTTTAGAAGTTCCCCATCCCTTAAGGCTGACACTGCCATTTAGCAGGGTGTTATCTACCTAATACTTCTGCCGACCTCTCTCTTGCCTTTCTCAACCCCTCTCCAGAAACGTGCAGCCCCCTGGATTTCTCCTGCAGAAATGGCGAGTGCCTGTCTCAGGCGTTGGTGTGCGATGGCTGGCACAACTGCCCGGATGGGAGCGACGAATTCAACTGCACCAGCCTCACCTATGCATCTTTTGGTGAGCGGCAATTCTTTCCTCGTGAAACAAGATTCCCAAAGTTGAGGTCCTGCACCAGTTGTTGAAAAAGGGCTGCCCTCTCATGTCAGACTGAGTCATAAATAAGGATGGGCAAATTTGCCCATTGTGGTGCCCCACAGTTTCTCATTTCCCCTAACCTAAAGTTCAGCACTTTAGAATTCTGCATTAGTTTGAAATTTTAAAACAAACAAACACCTTCACGTTAAATTGTTAGCATTTCCTTGCACATTTATCCCAATATACCTCTTTTTGTATGCAATTTTGTCTAAAATGTACATTTTTGCAAGCAATTCCCCCTAATATGCTGCATTTCTGTACATTATTTTGCACAAATGTATTCATTTTTATGCATACTTTGCCCTAGTATACACATTTTTTGTATGCAATTCCTTTTTTTCTTTCTTTCTTTGGAAAAATGCATCATAAAATTCAAAGAAGTGCAAAATTAGCTGTGTTTCAGTTCGCATGTTGTTTTGGGAAATGTGAATTAGGTAGTTTTGCATTTAACTGAATTTCTCCTTCATCCTTAGCTATGAATCACAACATCCCCATCTCAAATCTCACCTTTGCCCCAATCATTCTAGATGGCCTTGTATAAGCCAACGTCCCTCAGCCTTGGCCTCTCCATCTGTTCTATGGGGATAATAATTCTGGCCTACCTTAAATGGCTGTTGCAACAACAAGATAATGTATGTTAAGCAACTGAATATAATAAAGCAGTAGCCTTCAACCTTCTTAGATCTGGAGGCCACCTTTAGGCCAAACATTTGTTGTGGGGCCTTCTTAATTTTGGATGATATAGACTGATATATGTGTTTGTGTGGTTATTTGTTTAATAAAAGTTAACAATTATAGCAGAACACTTGAAACCATTAGATCAAGAAGAAATTCCCTAAACAGGTGTGCCTTCAAGAGCTGTTGGAATGCCAAAGGTTTTGGCGCCTCTTGTATTTCTCAAGGGTGCATTCCACAAGGGGGACGTGCTGGTTTCCCCTTCCCTCTTGTTTCTCAGTAGCCCCATTTTGGCTCCCCAGTTTGCTCCCAGCGTATGAGTTCGTTGATAGAAGACCATCACTATTTAAGGCCATCGCTCCCTAGTCTAGGGTCTTTAGCAAGCCCTCCTCCCCATCAGAACCTGGGGAAATGAACCTGACACAATCTAACTATGCATAAAAGGTAAAGGGACCCCTGACCATTAGGTCCAGTCATGACCGACTCTGGGGTTGCAGCACTCATCTCACTTTATTGGCCGAGGGAGCCGGCGTACAGCTTCCGGGTCATGTGGCTAGCATGACTAAGCCACTTCTGGCGAACCAGAGCAGAACACGGAAACGCTGTTTACCTTCCCACCGGAGCGGTACCTATTGATCTACTTGCACTTTGACGTGCTTTCAAACTGCTAGGTTTGCAGGAGCAGGGACTGAGCAACGGGAGCTCACCCCGTCGCGGGGATTCAAACCACCGACCTTCTGATCGGCAAGTCCTAGGCTCTGTGGTTTAACCCATAGCACCACTATGCATAATCTAACTATAAATATGAGCTGCTGGGGGGTTTTCACCTCTGGTGCCCAGCGATAATTTTCCTGGAGGGTAACGACATGCTGGGCTAGAAGTAACTTTGAGCTGGTCAGCCAAGCTGCTCGGTATGTTCCTGAGCTGAATCTGAAACATTGCCACACAAACACCTGCATATACCTGCACCTTTTCCTTCTACCTGCAGAGCCGTCCTGTGAGCCGATTGAGGTGGAGATGTGTTTGGGTCTCAGTTACAATACCACCTCTTTCCCCAACATCTGGCTGACCATTATGGATCAGCAAGAGGCAGAAGAGCATCTCGAAGACTATATGGTGAGCCTGGAGGAAGGTGGGGAAAGGGGTGAGGGAGAGCGATTGGGGGGGGGGGCGCTGGACTCTTGGCTTTGGTGGAAGGCAGGGAACATCAACAGAAAGCACCTTGCCACAGAGAGGGGAGCAGAAGAGAAAGATCTGGCCCAGCAGGACAACACCACTCCCACCACTTTAGAAAGATTGATAGATTGGTTCCTGGGCATGTGGAGCCCTGGAAAATGCCCCCCACCAAGCCTGTTGGCCACTGCCTGTCCTTGGTTCTAGGCTAGCTGGAGCCAGAACCAGGAAAATGACTCCCATTCTGCCCCTTTGCTCATTTTTTTAAAAAAATATTTTTATAAATCCATGACATCACAACACCATACAACAATTATAGAAAAGAAGTTTGACTTAACCATAATCCACACAGCGCACAGCCATTTTCTACGTGTTAAAAGAGAAAATTTGCAAATGCACTAAATGCATCCACTTAACAACAACCCTCAGGAGTGCTTAGCCAAGGAGGTGTCTCAGTAATAAACCTAACTGAAATAATTTTTGGAGAAGCAGCGGTTGTATTGCAGCTCTCTGACAGGTCACGTGACAAGGGGTCCCACATATCTTCAGATTTGTCCCTCCTGCTTTTGCCCGTCATTGGCGTTTTTCTTTGCAGACATTTTTCGGCTAGGGCAAGTAGTTCCCAGACTTTCCCCTGCCCTATAAACTCATTCTCAGCGCCTCCCGCCCTGTAACACATTGTTCAGAACAGCAGTTTGCACAATCCGCTAAGGAAGATAATGCAATAAAAATTCAAAGCGGTAGCAATTAATTACACATTTATTCAAAGCCCAATTAAAACTATTCAGTTTTCTTGATTCAGCAAAACTGATGCACTTAGAATCATAGAGTTGGGAAAAGTTGTCTAGTCCAACCCCCTGCAATGCAGGAATCTCAGCTAAAGCATCCATTACAGATGGCCAGCCAGTGTGGTGTAGTGGTTAAGAGCGGTGGACTCTGGGGAACCCTACTCACCTCACAGAGTGTTTATTGTGGGGGAGGAAGGGAAAGGAGATTGTTAGCAGCTTTGAGACTCCTTAAGGGGAGTGAAAGGCGGGATATCAAGTCCAAACTCCTCCTCCTCCAACCTCTGTCTAAAGACCTCCAAGAAAGTCCACCACCTCTCATGGGAGTCTGTTCCACGGCTGAACAGCTCTTACTGTCAGAAAGTTTTTCCGAATGTTTAGTTGGAATCTCCTTTCTTGAAACATGAAGCCATTGCTCCCTCGTCCATGTGACAGCCCTTAAGATATTTAAAGGTGGCTGTCATATCTCCTCTCAGTCTCCTCTTTCCCAAGCTAAACATATACAGCTCCTTCAACCGTTCCTCACAAGGCTTAGTTTCCAGACCCTTGATCATCTTGGTTGCCCTCCTCTGCACATGTTCCAGCTTGCCAACATCCTTCTTAAATAGTGGTGCCCAGAACCGGACACAGTATTCCACTTGATCCTGTGAAATTGAGATTCCTGCCCTGCAAGATAACACTTGGGACCGCTTCAAATTCCATAACTCTATGTTATCAGCTTCTCAAAGTCTGATGCTCACTTGCAGCTCCACTGCCCCACAGTGGGAATTAGCGCCCCCTTTGGGAACCACTGAGCTAGGGCAAGAGACCACCATCTCTGCATGGGGTACTTCCAGGGATGGGCTATCAAACGCAGTATTAGGTACAGTAAACCAGGCTTCCTCAACCTCGGCCCTCCAGATGTTTCTGGCCTACAACTCCCATGATCCCTAGCTAGCAGGACCAGTGGTCAGGGATGATGGGAATTGTAGTCTCAAAACATCTGGAGTGCCGAGGCTGAGGAAGCCTGCAGTAAACCATTCACTTTTTTCCAGGCGTAGTGAGAGAAGGGCTAATCCAACACCTGACAAGTGCCTTTCCCTGCTGCCCCTTGCTCGTTCTTTTTCAGATGCTGAAGGACTTCTCTTGCTACCCATCTCTGCGCTTGCTCCTGTGCAGCCTCTTCGTACCCAAGTGCACCCCGGACGGGGGCATCCTGCAGCCATGCCGCTCTGTGTGCCTGGCAGCCGAGCAGAGCTGCCAGCAATCCCTCAGCCTTCTGGGTCTCCCGTGGCCCCTGAACTGCAATGTCCTGCTAGATTCCAACAACCCTTTGGAGTGCTTCCTGCCATAAAGGGGCTGCCCCTCTCCGTCCGCAACCTCTACTTCACGTGCCGTGTAGCTGAACGCACCTCTCATTGCCCAGCTTGGTGGGAGACCCTTTGGAGGCCACCAGTTCCCAAACGGAAGTTTCCGAACAGAAGAAATCCCCCACCAGAAGGCCTCAGGATCTGAGCTACAATGCTTTAGTAGGCCATCCACTGACGTCTCTCCAAGGAATCGGTGGAATCTGAGCAACAGGAGGACAATTTGCAGTTTGGGGTTGAGTCTTTAGATTGTAAGCACCTTGGGTCAGAGGCCTGTCCTCATACCCTTCGTAAAGTTCTATGCGCCTTGATGGTGCCCATATAAATAACTTGGATAATGATATATCAGAGGCTGCAGGGGGCTTCCATCATAATTAGAGCTGTAATATTTAGCTGATTTGTTTTTAAGTCTTTGTGGTTGGTTTTAAAAGGCATTTTTTTAAAAAGAAAAGATTAATGTAAATGGTTTTTACTGTACATACTGAGAAGTTCACGGCTTGTAAGCCCTTTCTTAGAAGGGGAGTTCTTTCTTCTCTCTTACGTGGGAGCAAATGCCTCCTATGAAGTTAAGCCTACAGCAGCACAAGTGCTAGGAAGGAAGGAAGGAAGGAAGGAAGGAAGGAAGGAAGGAAGGAAGGAAGGAAGATTTGCCTACCAGGATTATGTTGTTAAAATGCAAATTCATTCAGATCATAGAACTTTAGGATTGGAAAGGATCCCAGGGGTCATGTAGTCCAGCCCCCTGCAATGCAGTTGATTGATTCGCTGATTAAAAGTCATACAATTCATCCACAAAAAGTTCCTTTCTCTGAGTGACAACCCTAATAATTCTTGATTATATACCAGCAAAGAAGGACATCTTCTTGTTCCAGTTAATGCAGCATCAGATTGCACTATACATAGTAGTTTAATGGATTGTGATTTTACATTAATCTCCCATTTCAGCTCTGCCCTGCGCTCATGAGTTAACTGTGCATGCATTTTTTTAAAAAAAACACCCTTCAGAATTATTTGTCAAAGACAGCTGAATTTAGCATCCTCTATAAACCATGCAAATCAAGCAAGACTTTTCCTTATTTTGCAAAATGCATTCCGTCTGTGCTCATCATGAGCGGGTGTGGGCAGAGACATGCAGAGCCCTGAAGTCCTGTTCCTGGAACGTTGCAAATCTTATTCAGCCACCCACTTGATTTCTGATATTTCAGTGGGCTTTTATACATCTTAAGGACTAGACGCTTGTTGCTGTTGTTTAATGAAAGCTGCCATTCTCAGGAAGCTGAATCCTCCATCCCAAACCACATCCTGTGAGTTTTCTGTGCTTGCATGTAATTGTCAAATGCTCCCAGCCCTTGTGGCAAAGCCCTGCTGAAAGTATTTCTTTCCAGAATACATCTGGTTTAATAATGATTATGCAAAGATTATGAAGACTTCAGAGTTGCCTCATTTGGAGATCGAGCTATTACAGCAGCTGAGGAGTGATTGAAACAACACAGACAAACTTCTGGGAGCTTCCAGTGTTCCTTGTAGCTGAAAGCAGATGCTTCAGACCTGCGGGTGATATGGAATTACTCTAGCTTGCCCCTCCAACACCCCCAATAATTGACAGGGCTGCACAATTTATTTGTTTGATCTTAGTGGAATGAAGTGGTAATGTGGTAGAAAAGACTGCCCTACTTCAGACTGCAGGTGGCGGCTGATCCCCTTAAAAAATTAATCCCCGAGCAAAAGAGGAGTGGAAAACAGCCCACAAGAAAGCTAGTGTGTAAGGGAAAGAGCTTCATGTCTTCCTATGCTAGCTTTCCAGTTAAAAGGAATTTATAATGCAAGGACTTTCCTACATACATGCTATCCCTCCACCTGCTCTCTGAAATGGGATTATTAGCTTTAACCACTTGATTTCTCTTCCACTGCCAACAGTGTGGGGTAGAGGTGAGAATGCCAGACTAGGACCTGGGAGACCAGGGTTCAAATCAACACTCAGCCATGAAGCTCACTGAGCGACTTCAGGCCAGTTGCTGACTCTCAGCCTAACCTACCTCACAGGGTCGTTGTGATTATAAAAATGGAGAGGAGGAGGGAAAACTATGCATGCTCTTCCAGCCCTACCTGGAGGTGCTGGGGGTTGAATTTAGGACCTTCTACATGCACAGCAGATGCCCTGCCACTGAGCTTCAGTCCTTCCCTGCAGAAACCACTGTCCCTGGTACTGCAGCATTTCAGGATTCAGTTGAGAGGATACACAGCTATTGGATTCCTGTCATCAGTAATTCCCAATCCACAGAAAACTGGCACGTCAGCCAAAGAGATCTAGCCTCACTTTTCACACTTGTGTGCCATTGTTCTGAAAGAGCATTTGAACCTGTTAAAAAGTCCAACCTGCAACTAAATGGTCCTAGGAGCTCTGTACCACCCATGTGTGAATTACTTCACCTTCCATCCCATCCCTGCGCAGCAGCCTCTGAGATCATCGGAGCCCAGCTTAAATCTGGGAAGCATCACCCCAAGACAAGGGAGGAGTTTCTACGGAAGGGAGCTGGCGGCGGCAGCGTCTGCGAAACCAATCTGGGAGCAACGCCCATCCAGCTGCTGCTGCTGCTGCTGCTGTCAAAGCAGAAAAATGCTCAGGGACTTCTAAGCAGGATCTGGGTGCCAAGTCCCGTCCATCAAACTCTGCAAACAAGTTGTGGGTGGGATTCGTGCCTGTGTTTGTGGTACACTTGTGCATGTAGCAGAGGGAGCAGAGAATCAGTTCCCACCCCTTGCTCTCTATCATAATACTAGAATGAACGAAAGCTGAATAATGAAAGGTTTCAGATGGACGAGAAGAAGGATTTGGTCACACAGGAATCTGCTATCCCAAGAGGCAGCGATGGCCAGCCAAAGATGAGGCAAATTCGTGGAGGTTCAGGCTTACCTGGGGGCTTCTAGCCACAATGGCGAGTTCTCGGGGTCAGAGGCAGTGATCCTCCAAGTACCTGTTTGCTAGGCATCACAAGGGTGGTGGTGTGATGCTGCTATGCTCAGGTCCTGGCTTTTAGGCTTCCCATGAGCATCCTGCCAGAGCAGGATGCTGGACCAGATGGGCCTTTGGTCGGATTCAGCAGGAGCATGGGGAGCCGTGCTTGGTTTAATGTAGGTCAGTGTTGATCACGCAAACTGGCGGCAGCTCTCTGGAGTTTCAGGCAGAGAGCCTTTCCCAGATCTGACTGGGGATTTCAGGGATTGAACCATGCTGGTTTGCATGCAGCCGTGGATAAGTAAGTTTGCAAGATACCTCCTGCATCCCTTCTCTGGTAAGGTAAAGGTAAATGGACCCCTGACCATTAGGTCCAGTCGTAACCGACTCTGGGCTTGCGGCGCTCATCTCGCTTTATTGGCCGAGGGAGCCGGCATCCAGCTTCCGGGTCATGTGGCCAGCATGACTAAGCCGCTTCTGGCGAACCAGAGCAGCGCACGGAAACGCCGTTTACCTTCCCGCCGGAGTGGTACCTATTTATCTACTTGCACTTTGACGTGCTTTCAAACTGCGAGGTTGGCAGGAGCAGGGACCGAGCAATGGGAGCTCACCCCGTCGCGGGGATTCGAACTGCCGACCTTCTGACCGGCAAGTCCTAGGCTCTGTGGTTTAACCCACAGCGCCACCCGCATCCCCCTTCTCTGGTAGACATGGATTATAAGATGTGCCCAGCATAATCATTTCCCAAGGGGCTTGGTTTGCCCAGACAGCAGTATAAAATGCACATTGATCAAGCGACATGCGTTATCACGAAGCATCCTTATCCTATATTCTAATAGCAAGCTCAAATGGAGGGGGAGCCTTTAGGTAGCCAAAGCAACACCCCCCATATGAAAGAAGTACTGCATGAGCAGGCTTAGGGAACCCTCAAAGGTTGCAGATATCCTGGCTGAGACTGATGGTGGTTGTAGTCCAAAACATCTGGTTGGCACCAGGTTGTGGGAGGCTACTGTACTCTCACTCCTATGCTTCTGCCTGGCTGGAAAATATTCTGTAATGTTTTGTTGACTCCCAGCTTTTAAAACACGTTACGTATCCTGTCTGTTAATGTTACTTTTTTTTTATTCAAGAGGAGAGTAAGCGGAGCTCAGCCTGGCCTCAAAGTCACACCTGGATGCTTCTCTCCTCTAATATTAGATTCATATGGAGAAGAGGGTTATTGTTAAGTGATGAGCAGCAGGCACTCCGTACATGCTCAATGGCAATTCTTTTCCTGTGGTGAGCTCTGGCAGAAAATAAGCTCTAGTGCCTGCTCAAGGTAAAAAAAAAAACCAAAATGATGGGCAGAGTGGAAATGGAACCACCAACCCACTTCTTCTTTGATTGTGTCACAGCATTTCTGTCTAAACAATAAGCCAAAAGGGACGTCAGAGCAGCTTACAAAAATCAGATATAATATGGTCCTGACCTTAAGTTCACAATCTGAAAAGATGTGACACAAGAGGAAAATGGGAAGAGGAGGGAGGAGGCAAAAACCAAGCTCAAGCACAAGTTCTTAAAAATGACAGCCCACGTCAATGAAAGTCCTGGCTGTTTCGTGTTTGATGAAATGGGTTTCTTTGCCTTTCATCCCGCCATTGCTTTTATGAGGGTGAAGGCGCTTCCTTGGAAATACAGTGGTACCTCAGGTTAAGTATTTAATTTGTTCTGGAGGTCCGTTCTTAACCTGAAACTGTTCTTAACCTGAAGCACCACTTTAGCTAATGGGGCCTCCTGCTGCCGCCTCGCTGCCAGAGCACGATTTCTGTTCTTATCCTGAAGCAAAGTTCTTAACCTGAAGCACTATTTCTGAGTTAGCGTAGTCTGTAACCTGAAGCGTATGTAACCTGAAGCTTACGTAACTCGAGGTACCACTGTATAGAGAACATTTATTTACACCCCACCTTGCAGGCATGGCCAAACTTGGCCCTCCAGCTGTTTTGGGACTACAGTTCCCACCATCCCTGACCACTGGTCCTGTTAGCTAGGGGATAATGGGAGTTGTAGTCCCAAAACAGCAGGAGGCCAGGTTTGGCCATACCTGCAAGCAGCTCAAGCTCATTCTCCCCGCACAACCACCCTGCGAGATTGGCCAGGCTAAGAGGCAACGTGGACTCGCTCAAGCTCACCCAGTGAGCTCCACGGCTGAGTGGGGGATTTGAACCCGGATCCCCCGGTCTCACCCCCACCCCACCCCACCCCCACTCTGACCCCTTCTCCGCCGCCCTGCCGGCTCCTGACTCTTCCTCCTCCCTCCCCTCCCGCCTTCCTCTCCCCTCTCTGCCCCATCCCAGAGATGCCCGTCCCTGGGAGCGCCTCTGCCTCGGACGCGCTTCCCCGCTTTCCCTGTAGCTCTTGGCTCCGCTCTGCAACTCTCCGGTTTCCATCGGAGTTGGGGAGGAGGGAGAGAGGGGAGGGAGAGAGGAGGGTGGGGAGGGGGAAAGAAGGCCGGCCGGCGGAGCTGGCTTGCGGCCTCCTTCGCCAGAGTAAGCGGTCCTCCTTCTTCCCCAAGCAGCCTGGAGCGCCAGCTTGCCAGCCCAGCCGCAGAGCGCCGCCGCCGTGAGTATCGCAGATCCACGCGGGCTGGTGGGCTAGGGAGGCTGGGCGACGGGTTTCCAACTTGCCTGCTTGGGGCTGCCGTTTCTCCCGACTTTGCTGACACCACCTTGCTTTTGTTTTGGGACCGACGCGATCCCTTTAGAAGATCATCCGGGAGTTGGGAAATGCCTAGCGGGAGGAGATTTTGCTTTCTCTTGGAAGAGACCACAAGGGCCATCGAGTCCAACCCCCTGCCAAGCAGGAAACCTTTGGGATTGATTTTAATCCGAGCCACCCAAAAGCCTTGCCCAAAAAAATATACTGTAAGAAAGAGCTGCTCTCTTGGGGAAATTGAAATAAAAATGGCCAAAGTTTGTGGATTTTTAAAAAGAATGGCCTGATCCGGACCCCACTAAGGGGCGGGGGGTGGCGGTCTGGATTCCAATTTCGAGTTAGTCCGGTTTTTAATTGAGTATTCATTCTGATTTGTTCCACAATGGTGAGCCTAATTTGTTTGTGGGGTGTTTATGCATCTTCCCATGAATTAGCCGTTCATCCCACAATTTTCAATGCATTTTCCCATCACTTTCTCAGCCACCAAAAGTTGGTTGTTTTTTTAAAAATGGATTTGTTGCTGGAGGGGAAGAGAGTGCTGTAATCTACTTGAATTGCACAAACCTAGATTTGCTGGGATGCTCTTGAAGCCTTCCTGCAAAATAACATACAGGATACGCCCAGAGGAGCATCTGGTGAACATTACAGAATTTGAACTCGGGTCTCCTGGTCCTAACCAAACACTATCTGCTAGGCCACTCTGACTCTTGGGAAGGTGTGGGAATGAGGGGCTTTGATTGCTGCAAGTGCCCCACAGGTTGGAAAGAAAGTCAACCGTTCTGGACTGATATTCACCATTATATCTCACACACATTATATGCAAAAGTTATTGCTACTTGCAATCCACAGGTAGGAGACTAATACTAAAAGTCAGTAGTGAAACTTGGTTTTTGCTGAATGCTTAAAAGGGCCGTGTGCCCTTTATTCTCAGTAATTATTGCAACAGTCCTGCTAAGTTGGCCTGTTTTATTAACCCCATTTTGCAATCCGGTGTAGATCAGACAGACCAGTAGAGATCCTAGAGCCGTGAAGATAGAACTATATGCCAATGGCTCATTTTTCTGCCTATATTAGTACAGTTGCATGCCACCCCAATCTGAGCGATGCAAGATTCCAGGGACACCAGGAATTACCCAGGGTTTAGTTTCCTCAGAATGAGGAACAGCAGAGACATTTATCTTTATGATATATTTACACATATATACAACCTGAGCTGGGGTGTATGGGGTGTTAGGGGGAGGGTAGTACCTTTGCTGGGGGGGGTACCCCACCCTGCACTCAGCTCTCACCTGTGCTTCCTAGAAGCTGTGAGCATGCGACAGCAGCCACACCCTGGGAATGGCTTTGGCTGGCTAGCTAAACCAAGTGAGGGTACCTGTTGGGTCTCAAACCCTCGGTGAGTTAGAGACTTCCCCTGCATGCAAAGACAGGCTCTGGCAGATTGAGCAGACAAGACCAATAGTCTCTTGATCAATGGTCAAGAAAGTGCTTTCTCCACATGCTTTAGGGGGAAGGGGCAGATGGGGCTCGTCAACCCGGGAAGGTAGCACATCTAGCAGATGGAAAACTCTGGTCCTCCACTGCCTTGCTGGATATATTTGGGAGAAGAACCCTACCCAAATCCGGAGTCCCCTAAGACAGTTGCATGCTGTCTTGTGCACCTCCTTCTGGCAACTCCTGCAGCCAAGCTGGTGCCAAACGTCTTGCTCTGCTTTCCTGTGGACCCCACCAACGATGCCAAGAGTCTTGTTGTCTGGGCAGTTCAGGACCTCTGTACACACTGCCCAGGCTTGCCCCCCAAGGAGGTCACTTCAGTGCTGATAATGCAGCAGTTTGACTTCACCCACACACCCTGGCTAGTCATAGCAGAGCTTAAGAAATATAGGGACTAGGCTCCCCAAAGAATATCCTTCTTTTTTCTCTTCTTTGGTGATCACTTGTAGCCGAGTAAGATTGTCTTCCATGAACACGGTCTTAACAGTGAGTCTTTAAGTGACTGTGGAGGCCAATTCTGGATGTCCTTCCACAGTGGGGACATAGGTTTCCGGACGGGAGTTGGTCATGGTGAGGGTTTCTTAGCATGTTTCTTCCTTTCCTCTTAGCATGTTTCTTCCTTTCATCCTGAGTTTGAGCGTGTTCAAAGTCCACAGCACCTTTGGTAAAGGCTGTTCTCCAATTGGAGCACTCACAGGCCAGTGTTTCCCAATGGTCAGTGTTTATACTACATTTTTAAAGATTTGCCTTGAGAGAGCCTTTAAACCTCTTTTGTTGACCACCAGCATTACGCTTTCCATTTTTAAGTTCTGGATAGAGTAGTTGCTTTGGAAGGCGATATTCAGGCATCCGAACAACATGACGAGTCTTCAGCCAGTTGATATTGAAGAATCGTTGCTTCGACACTCACCCCACTACACCCCCAATCCTCACCAGGCTCAGGCAATGCTGAAAGAATGTAAAGCATCGAGATTTTGGATGGGTTCGCTGCATTCCAGACCTGTTAGCTATAGCTAAATCCCAAAGCTGAAACTTATAGGAACTCTTAAGACAACCTGGACTCTTGCAAAAAGGGGCAAAAGATGGCAGGGGCAGGAGGGAGAGGGGAAGAAAAGAGAAAGGAAAGGAGAAATAGATGAGCAAGTTGTCAGAACAGGCTGGCTGGCTGGCTTGCAGAAGGAGGACAAAACCAGGACAAAAGTTCACAGGCTGATTCTGTGGTTTTAAGGCTGTGCTGCGTGCCCGGCTGGCTCCTGGCATCAGTCTTGCCTCTAGAGGACTAGCCTCTTGGGAGGCTCTGGCTTCTTTCCTCTGATTCCATGGGAGGCGAAAGGAGCGTGACATCCCAGGCGGTTGCTTAAGAGCCAGTTGACATTTCCTCCTCTCTCTGTCTCTCTTCCTGCTGCCCCCATCGCTCACCACAAAATACACAAAGGGCAGCTCAGGAAAGCCAGAGAATTCTGAGCCATCTGAAGCTCCCAACTGTTCCAAGGGAATCATATGCATTAATGGATTTAGGTTGCACAATTGCTAGTCTTACACTTGGATTAGGTTGTGGAGGCTCCCTGGGAGATCAACCATGGGGGTGGGTGTCTAAGAGGCAATACTCTGCTCTGGTTTTGCTGGAGTTCTTCTACCTTTTCACGAAACGGTTGCTGCGATTAATTTCTGCGGGGAGAGGTGGAATGCTAACCTGAATAAAAACCAGTTGAATCTTAGCTGCAGGTTTGTGGGATGAGGGGGGGTGAGAGAAAGTCACTCTGCACATGCTCAGTGGCACCATCTTTCAAATTAAACCAGCCGGAAAGTTGTGTGGATTAAACAAAGATGGGGAGAACCATGTACACCGCCTTGTGTTCCTTGGAGGTGGGATAGCAATATAATAAATGAATAATAATAAATACTCTGACTAATTAAAACTCTGGAAATCTAATGCACCAGGGAGCAACATAAAATCATAGGGAGCTACTGAGTTGCACCCTTGATCCATCAAGCTCTGTACTATCCACACAGATTGGCCGTGGCTCTCCAGGGTTTCAGACTGGGGACATTCCCAGTCCTACTTGGGAATGCAAGGATTGAATTGCACAGACTTTCTGCATGCAGAGCAGGTGCTCTCCCACTGACCTGGAGCCCTTTCCCTGCTCAGTCTAGTCTAGGCCAAGCATTCTAGCTTAGTTCTTTCCAGCTGCACTTCTTCCTATTTGCAGTGATTTATTTTTTTGTTTTAACTGTGTGGGAGAACATAAAAAGAGCCCAGGTACTGGGTCTGACCAAAGGCCCATCTACATAGCCCAGCATCCTCACAGAGACCAAGCAGAAGCCGGTGGGAAGCCCACAAGCAGGACCCGAGGGCAACAGCACTCCCCCCCCCTTGTGATTCCCAGGAACTGCTATTCAGAGGCTACTGAATACCAAACCAATCATACTGCAGACAGTACATAGGCATCACAACTAGTAGCTACTGGTAGTCTTGAATTTGTCTTTCAAAGCCATCCAGTTGGCAACTATCACTGCCTCTTCTGGAGTGGGAGAAAAAAATCAACAGTTTAACTACAGGTGAAACTCGGAAAATTAGAATATCGTGGAAAAGTTCATTTATTTCAGTAACTCAACTTAAAAGGTGAAACTAATATATGAGATAGACTCATGACATGCAAAGCGAGATATGTCAAGCCTTTATTTGTTATAATTGTGACAATCATGGCATACAGCTGATGAAAACCCCAAATTAGCAATCTCAGAAAATTAGAATATTCTAATTTTCCGAGTTTCACCTGTATGTTAGCTGGCAAACTTCAGAAGGCTGGGGAACGCAGAGATGGTCTCAGCTGATGGGCAGGTTTATATGGGGCAAAGCAGCCCTTAAGGCATCCCAGGGCCAGATTTAATAGACCTAGTTATCTAGGGCAGGTAGGAATTTCATGCAGGTGACCATTCAAGGAAGGTTTGCTAAACTTGGTCCTTTGGGGGCATAAACACACTGGATTAGGTAAGCTATAAAAAATAATAATTGTGGACCTGTTTGCAAAAAAACCACTTCCCTGAGACCCTTTGGGGGTATCTGACAAACTCCTCTCTCTGTAGACCCCCCAGAAATGGAGCACGCTGTCTACTTCTTCCTCTTCCTGCTTACATTGACCACAGACTCTGTCCAGATTGAGGACAATAAGATCCCCAGCCTTTGCGCTGGGCACCCCGGAATTCCAGGCACCCCCGGGATCCATGGGAACCAAGGCCTGCCAGGCAGAGATGGGCGTGACGGGCGTGACGGAGCAGCAGGGATGCCGGGAGAAAAGGGCGAAGTTGGTCAGCCAGGTAAGGGCACCTCTGCCTTTGGAGGATCTCAAAGGCCTTCCTGGTGCCTGAAGGAAAACTTTTGGTCTTTAGATGCAGATGAGGCAGGTTAGGAGAGCACTATTATTCCCAGGTCCATTTCTATCATGCTAAGCAAGCTAATTCTGCAGAAGCCCTGAAGTGGGTAATTCCAGCATTATTGTCTCACAATGTATTGGGGGAAGGAGTCCACTCTGTGTTGAGTTATCAACTCCATAGAGCAGGGCCAGCCTGTCTGGTGACCCATTTTTCTCTGTGTGGACAGCCAGCTGGCTTTCAGAGCTATGCAAGCCCCAGCCATCAGCAGCTGGGCACGGCTAAAATGGCCTCACAAGACAAATGGGGAGGCTGGCGGAAGTAATCAGGCCTGTGGACTGAAAGTTCCTCACCCCTCTGAGGGAAATGAGGTCATTTAAATTAAGACCCAAATTTCTAACTATTGTAGTCGCCACAAGCAAGACAAGGGGATCGCTGGTGTTTTGCTTTGTACTGACTTCTCTCTTTTCTGTCAATTAATTTTTATTGCTTTTCAAAAAAAATCAAGAAATTAACATCAAATTTAATACAAATTGGAAAGTTGACTTCCCACCCCGCTATCTTGATGTTTCTCTTCCCTTCCTTACTCGCTGCTCAGTTACATAATTTCCTAATTCCATTTCAAGAGAAGAGTAAGATAAAAAAGAAAAAATGTTGGGAAAAGATGCAAGCGAAGAACTTCCAATTTCCCATCTGCCAGTAACAGAAAATGTATGTGTGTATGTGTGCATATGTGCATATATATATACACACACACATACAGTGGTACCTCTGTTTTTGAACGTCTCCGTTGTCGAACATTTAAGTTTTCAAACACTGTAAACCCAGAAGTAAATGCTTCGGTTTTCGAACGCGCCTTGGAAGTCAAACCGGAAATGTAGCTTCCGTATTGAGTTTTCCGTGTTGAGTTTTCCATATCGAGTTTTCCATTTTGAGGCTTCCGTACTGACTTTTCGGTTTTCAAATATTTCAGAACTCGAACGGTCTTCTGGAATGGATTATGTTAGAAAACCGAGGTACCACTGTATATAAAATCACCTTCAGTCCATGCAAAAAATATATATATTAAAAACCTTCAGTCCATGCAAACATCCATCTTCTCTGCTTTCTGTTAAGCAATTTCTTTAAAGTCAGGGTGCCTCAGAATCATTTTTTTCTTTTCCCTACAAAAAGTCCAAGACGGTTTCCATAATTATTCATAAATGTTAGCCATCTGTTTCTTTTAATTTCACCTCTATTAATTCCTGCCACCATTACTCCATATTGCATTGTACTAAATTCTTCCATCCATATCCGTGTTAAAGCCTCTCCATGGTGAAAACACATCAGATCCATATTCCATCCTTAAACATATCCTAACACTGTCCTTGGTTGTTGTTGTTTTCATTCCTTAAAGGAGCAGTGGGCCCCACAGGGGAAAGAGGCAGCCCTGGCCTCAATGGGTTTCCCGGAGAGAAAGGGGCGCCTGGGGAGTGCGCAGTGGCCCCCCGCTCAGCCTTCAGCGCCAAGCGCTCCGAGTCTCGCAGCCCTCCCTTGGCCGACCAGCCGATCGTCTTCGACGTGGTGCTGGTCAACGAGCAGGGACATTACGACGGCAACACAGGGGAAGTTCCTCTGCGAGATTCCGGGACTGTACTACTTCGCCGTCCATGCCACCGTCTACCGCATGAGCCTCCAGTTCGACATTATGAAGAATGGCAAGTCGGTGGCCTCCTTCTTCCAGTTCTACGGCAACTGGCCCAAGCCCACATCACTGTCCGGTGGCACCCTGGTGCGGCTGGAGCCGGAGGATGAAGTCTGGGTGCAGGTAGGTGTAGGGGACTACCTTGGCTTCTACTCCAGCATCAAGACAGATAGCACTTTCACAGGATTCCTGGTCTACTCCTACTGGCAAAACTCTCCCGTCTTTGCCTGAGAGATGCCCCTCTCCGCCACGCGATTTGCGGAGGACTCCCTTTCTTGGCTCTGCCACAGCTGTCGTCCGTGGGGATACCTGTGGCCCTTCTTAACCCAAGGGGTGCAGCACCCCTTTAGCTAATGCCTGTAAAAGGTTCTTCCCAGAAGGTGTCTGGCAACCCCTCAGGCCAGGGTCGGGATAGCTGTGCAGCAGAGAAGTTAAGTGACCTTTGTAGCGCACTAGCAAACAGTGTACTCCTTGTGGAGTAGATTTACTTTCTATATCTATACACATACATACTTAGGGCTGTGCCCCACTTGCTTCGCTCACCAGCCCCACCTACCGCTTTGGTAACCACCCTGCCCCACATCAGATGTAAAATGACAATATGACTTTTAGAGGACATCTGAAGGCAGCCCCGTAGAGGGAAGTTTTTAATGTCTGATGTTTTATTGTGTTTTTATATTTCGCTGGAAGCTGCCCTGAGTGGCTGGGGAAACCCAGTCAGATGGGTGGCATGTTAATACAGTGGTACCTCGGGTTAAGAACTTAATTCGTTCTGGAGGTCCATTCTTAACCTGAAACTGTTCTTAACCTGAAGCACCACTTTAGCTAATGGGGCCTCTTGCTGCCACTGTGCCGCCGCTGCACGATTCCTGTTCTCATCCTGAAGCAAAGTTCTTAACCGCAGGTAATATTTCTGGGTTAGCGGAGTCTGTAACCTGAAACGTATGTAACTTGAGGTACTACTGTAATAAAATTATTATTATTGTTATTATTATTATCTGACCAACCACCCTTCCTTTACACCCCCTTGTCCTCCCCTCGCAGCTCGCCTGAACCTCCGCACCTTTTTAAAGGAGGAGGGAGGCACAGTTGACTGAAGGCTCTATGAAACGCCTCTCTTTCCTCCTTCAAACCTCACAGCAGGCATGTTTGACCGAGGTCAGCCAAGAGCCATTCATGGGCTACCCTGTCATTTCTCATGCTGCAGCTGACGTGGCCATCTGTTGGCGGTCCTGTGAACTGCAAAGCATGACATTCAGTCCTTTTGTTTGTATATAGGGAGACAGGCCACCCTTTCCAACAGTTCCTCAGAAACAGGTACGGACTGCTATATTTCTGCAGCTCCTCCTCTCCCTGTCAAAGGGGAAGGAGGGTCCAGAGCAAGATCACTAGGATCAAACCCCTATTAAACCATGAAATCAATCTTAACTCGTATATGGCATTTAGGGCCGGGCGGTATCTGGTTTTCAGCATTGTGATATATCACCAACTAAACCTCGTGATACACCAGTGGAGCTGGCAGAGTTAACAGGGGCTGCAGGAATCAAGAGAAGCATTGGCTGGCTTCATGATTTCCCCCACATTGTGATTTTTGCATAGCACACACACACACACACACACACACATTTTGATTCCTGATATATTCCCAGGTCAAAAATGATGAAACCAATATCGCAATGTGGATTTCAAACCGGTTTAGGATGATATATTGATATATTACCTAGCCCTAATGGCATTGCAGAGAGAAATTAGAGTAATCGCACAAATGAAAAATGCCACAGAAGGAATTATTTAAAAACAACAGTACAGTGGTACCTCTGGTTAAGAGCACTTCAGGTTATGAACGCTTCAAGTTACGAGCTCTGTTAACCCGGAAGTAGCTGCTCCTGGTTGCGAACTTTGCCCCAGGATGTGAACAGAAATCGCGCGCCAGAGGGGCACGCACAGTGGGAGGCCCCATTAGCTAAAGCGTGCCTCAGGATAAGAACGGTTTCAGCTTAAGAACAGACCTCTGGAACGAATTAAGTTTGTAACCAGAGGCACCACTGTAATAGTGTGAATGGGTCATTTCCCATGTTATCTTCTTAATAGGGTAGCACAGGCACAGAAGCCTCCCTGCCCTCTCTTGCTATGGCAGCCTGTAGTGGCTGTTAGAAGGTTCCACAGCCACTACAGGCAGCCACAGATCCAGAGTCTTCTTTTGCAACATTCCCAGCAATGAAAGGGGCCCATCACTGCTCACTCATTTATTTTTAACCTAAAAAGGACTGGAAATCAAGGCTCTGGCTGTGTTGTTTTCCATCTGGTAGGAAAAGAGCCTCTTTCCTATTAGGTAGCCTAGGGCAAGATAAAGGTTGCAAGCTGACTGCTCTGCTCACAGCCCAACTGCAGAGAATATATATCAGAAAGGGTGCACAAATTCTCATTCATGGACCAAGCAGCAATAAAAAGTTTAGCGTAGATGTTATAGACGTGTGGCACATGTTATCCACTAGGGGGCTCCCTGAGCCCAAAGTTTAACAAGTTTGCTGGCCAATTTAATTAACCCTAGAATGGATTTTGTCTGTAAGATTGTTTCATGCATGACATTTCTTTTTTCCTACATGGAAATTTGAGTCTGTTATTATTCCTGTATGCAAAGGATGTTCATTCACTCTTTTATTCTCAGTCTTCCAAAGTGTTTTAAATATAATGAAAAGATTTGGGTGTTGTTTTAGATCTCTGTATGTATCAGTGTTTGGAGAGATCTTTTTTACTTGTAGAAAGCATTCTGGAGGGAGGTGTCGCAATGTTTTTTCCAACTCCTGCTCCTCAACATTTTACAGCAGCCCAATAAAGAGAAAATAAGTGGGTGACATCCCGCATTAAACAGAGTTAAAGAGAGCAAAATTCCATCTGTTTCGAGTCTTGTATAGTAGAAATTAAAGAACCTATTGATTCATTCCCTGTCTTTGAACTGATGAATTCATCAATTTAACCTCTAAGCCAGATTGCATATAGTTATTCCTTCAACATGGACCTTTCTTTGGATGTTGGAGTTTGTATAAGGGATTTTAAAAGGTACCATAAGAATATAATCAAGTATTTTAAACAATTTCCACTGTTGTACTATAGCGATCCTGGCAGCATCCGTGTCAAAAGTTCATTTTGGTGAAATGTCTTCTTAGTGCCTGTCCATGTATTTAGTAAGAATAACTGGGTAGATATTTGAATATGTGTTTTAATAATCTTTGAAATCTCCTAATAAATTTCATTCCAGAGTGAAGCAACCTGTGGGCATTCCCACCAGAGATGGGGAAAAGTTCATTTATTCCCACAACCTACCTGATGAATGGTTTATTGGAATTTGGGATAGTTGAATGGGTATGTGATACTGTCATTGATGAATATACTAACTCAATGCAAATAGGCCAATGCTCAACAGGACCCGATATCCTGATGACCAACATCCTGTAATACTTCTTCTGAATCTGGGCTGGGGAAACTGCAGCCAATGGTGTATGTGCAGCCCTCGGCCTAATTTCACGAGGTGCAGCCTATTGCAGAAGCCCTGGGTGGACTTGCTGCGTAGCTCGAGACTCTTAATCCCAGGGTTGTGGGTTCGAGTCCCACGTTGGGTGAAAGATTCCTGCATTGCAGGGGGTTGTGCTTAGATGACCCTCATGGACCCCTCCAACTCTGCCGTTCTTGGATTCTGTGTCTGGGGGGGGCAGGGAGCAAGGCAGCCTGAGTTCTGTGGTTATCTACAAGCGACCCCCAAACCCATTTATCCATGCCAAGTGTTGCCCACAGAAAGCAATGTGTGCGGAAAGTCACAGCTCAGCCTTTCCTACAGGGCTGTGACAGGGACTGGGGCCGGTCAGCTTGCCTTCTCTGGTCCCAGATTCTCCAGTGTGAGAACAGTGACCCAATTTGGAAGAAAGGTCCTTTATTTTTAGCACGGGGAAGGAAGCACGCTTTCTGCATTCTTGCCCAAAATAGGCCTTGTTGCACTCATTTTCCCTAATGTCTTTGGACTGCTCCCAGCTGCAGAACTTTCCCAGTGTCCAAGCAAGCTGCAAACTTCCTGGTCTCACCTGGAGGCTCCAAGGACACTGGAAAGAAGGAATCTTGTCGGTTTCCGCCAGCATCTGTGTCCGGGTGGCACCAAAGCAATTTCTGTCAAGCTCTTTGCCAAGCTAAGCCAGGAGGTTTGATTTGATTGGACTTTTGGGGTGGGGCAGGGTTTTTACAAGGCCATTTACACAGGACTTGGTTTGGGGCTGAGGGATAGATATATAGGGGAACACAAATAATTCTACCAAAAGCAGATCTTAGAGAGGAATGGGAGATGTGGAGCTTCAGGCTGACCTGGAGCGATCTCAGTTTTTACCAGCGCTGACCCCGACCTCCCTCTCAGGGAAAGCATCGCCCGGGTCAGCGCTGACGACAGACATCTGTTGCAAATGACGCTTGGCCTGTAAAGCCAGAGCCTGGGGCTGTGTCAGCCATGTAACAAAGACACGCTGTGTCCTGCATCTTGCAATGGGACTGCAGAAGCATCGCGAGCCAATATTTTCCTGTTTTCCCCACTCAGCTGTGAAGAGGGCTGTGGGATCTGGAGCAAAAAGAGGATATCCAGTTTCATGGCTTCCCTGGATTTTGTTTAGTTTTTTATGGGAACAAATGCTGGGGGGGGGGACATAATGGCCCGCTATAATTGTGCAAACACACATTTTCTGGCATGCATTTGAATGCCTCCTGCAAAATACTGGTAGCATCCTATGCTTTGATTGGCAGCTGCCCAGGGTCTTAGTAATAAGAATCTCAAGAAGAGCTTGCTAGGTCAGGCCAATGGCCCATCTAATCCAGCATCCTCTTCTCAACCAGTGGGAAACCCTCAATGTGACCTGAGGGCAACAGTAGCAGTGTCCCCACTTGAAATTCCCAGCAACTGGCATTCAGAGACAATAGTGGAGGTAGAACCTAGCCATTGTAGCTAATCAGATGGTCTGTTCATCTGGTGCGGGTGGCGCTGTGGTCTAAACCACTGAGCCTCTTGGGCTTGCTGATCAGAAGGTTGGCAGTTCGAATCTCCGCGGCGGAGTGAGCTCCCGTTGCTCTGGCCCAGCTCCTGCCAACCTAGCAGTTCGAAAGCACACCAGTGCAAGTAGATAAATAGGTATTGCTGCAGTGGGAAGGTAAATGGCATTTCCATGCGCTCCGGTTTCCATCACAGTGTTCCATTGCGCCAGTAGCACTTTAGTCATGCTGCCCACAGGATCCGGAAAGCTGTCTGTGGACAAACACCGGCTCCCTTGGCCTGAAAGCAAGATGAGCACCTCAACCCCATAGTTGCCTTTGACTGGACGTAACCATCCAGGGATCCTTTATCTTTACCTTTTTACCTGTCCCCTCACCTGCTACCTGGAGGTGCCATGTAAGATCTCTCCACCCCACTGTCTCAACAGATCTCACAGAATGGGGTTGAGAGAAACCCAGTCTCCCAAGCAAAAGTAAACTGCCTCTATCCTTATCTCTGCTAGTAGCCATTGATAGTCCTCCACGCTCCATGTATATTTATCCTAACTTCTTGTGGAGCTGAATTTCGCAAGATAATGAAGCACTCAATAAAATGCACTTCCTTTTCATCTATCTTAGGCATGCCAACAATCCATTTCCTTTGATGATGGCGGGT